TTTTGGTAAGAGTTTAGGGATGCAACTGATTGTGAGCCCCTAAACTTGTTTTCTAGGCATTTGGTGTTTAATTTTGTGTTTATTTACTATCATTATCTTTAAATTTGTAAACTTATTTCTCTCTTCTCTCTGTGCGTTTTTTCTTTGTGTGTTTTAACCTTATTGTTGAATGTTTTTTTAACCACCCTGAATTCCAAAATAGCATTAGATTCATTGGCATTTGTTTGAACCTGCATTTGCACGTGTATTCATTGTCTCTCTTCCTGCGACTCCCTAATGCCCACATTCTACCCCACCCTATCTCTTCTGCCCCCTTCACTGTTTTTTTTTTTTTAATATATTTCCTCAAGCGATTATCTGTTCTTAGTTCCCAGCTTGCCTTTATTTCCCAGACTTTGGATATTCTATTACTCTACCAGTTTAACTACTTGCTTTAGATTCCAAATTAGTCTCTATTTCTCTGACTTTATACTTTGTGGATGTTTTGTAGGCTGAACTAGAGTAGAAATGATGGCAGTAAGAATCTGGGAAGTTTTAAATTTTGAAATAATCTCAAACTTACAGAAAAGTTGTAAGTACAGCACAAAGAACTTTTTCCCCCTGAACTGTTTGAGAGTGCTGACCTGATGCCCAGTTGCCCTGAATGCTTTATTGTGTATATTATACAAACTAGGTCACTCTCCAACATAACTATAATACTACCATCAAAGTCAAAATACTACCTCTTAATCCTCAGATCGCATTTAAGTTTTGCTAGTTGTCCCATGAGAATATCCTTTATGGTGAAAGGATTTAGTTCAGAATTGTCTATTGCACTTGTTTGTTGTAGAATATCCTTCAATTTCGGCTTGTATGAAGTTTCTTCATGATTAGAGTCAAGTTTTGTGTGTCTTTGGCAGGAATATCACAAGCGGTGCACGTTTTACATTTGTCCCATTGTTGCTAAGTTTCACTTTGATCACTTTGATTCCCTTTGATTAAAGTGGTGTCTGTCAGGCTTCTCCATGCAAAATTTTTCCATTTGTAATTAATAAGGATTTTGAGGGGAGAGACTTTGAGACTGTGTAAATATCCTGTTCTCCTTCAAGCATTCATTTATTAGTTTATATCAATATAGGTTTCCTATTTTGTCCAATGAGTTATACTCCATTACTGTCACTGCTAATTTTGATTCTTTAATTGTTTCAGAGTTGAGCAGTGGGAACTTCTTGAAGCTGATTCCTGTGTCTTCTTTTCAAATAAGCTTTTTGTTTTGGAAAAATTTTAGATTTACAGAAAAAGTTGCAAAGATAGTATATAGAATTCCCAGGTGTCCCTTACCCAGTTTTCACTAATATTATATCTCCCATAACCAAGGTACATTGTTAGTCAAAACTAAGAAATCAATACTGGTACATTATTTTAAATGAACTACAGATTCTTTTTGAATTTCATTAATTTTTTCACTTATGTCCTTTTTTGTTCCAGGATTCAATCCAGAATACCATATTGCATTTAGTAATCATGTCTCCTTAGTCTCCATTCTGTGAACAGTTTCTTGGGCTTTTACTGTTTTCCATGACCTTGACAGTTTTAATTGGGTATCATTTAAAATTTCCCTCAATTTGGATTTGTAGGATGTGTTTCTCATGATAAGGTTTTGGTTATGGGTTTTTGGGACGAATTCTACAGAGGCAAAATACCCTTCTGATGACATCATATGGGGGACAGGACATCAGAATGACTTACCACTGTGATGTTAACCTTGATACTTTGGTTAAGGTGATGTCTACTAAGTCACTGCTCTATACAGATACTATTTTTCCTATTCACTATTTTTTGGAAACAAGTTGCTAATTACAGCACATACTTAAGGGAAGAGTCCTTTGTTTTTTTTTTGTTTTTTTTTTTTGAGACAGAGTCTCACTTTGTTGTCCAGGCTAGAGTGAGTGCCCCGTGGCGTCAGCCTAGCTCACAGCAACCTCAAACTCCTGGGCTCAAGCGATCCTCCTGCCTCAGCCTCCCGAGTAGCTGGGACTACATGCATGCGCCACCATGCCCGGCTAATTTTATATATATATATCAGTTGGCCAATTAATTTCTTTCTATTTATGGTAGAGACGGGGTCTCGCTCTTGCTCAGGCTGGTTTTGAACTCCTGACCTTGAGCAATCCGCCCGCCTCGGCCTCCCAAGAGCTAGGATTACAGGCGTGAGCCACAGCGCCCGGCCTGTTTTTTTTTTTGACACGTGCCCATCATGACATGTGTTCCTTTGTGACACAACAGTATGTCGCAGCTTATTTTGTAATTTCTGTGCTCCAGCCTTAGAATCAGCCATTTCAAGAAATGTACCTGTTATAGACTGAATGTTAGTGTACTCCCCCAAATTTATATGTTGAAGCCCTAACCTCCAGTATGACTGTATTGGGAGATGGGTGCTGTAAGGAAGCCATTAAGATTAAAGGAGGTCATAAGGATCATAAGGGTGGGGCCCTCTGATAGAATTAGTGTCCTTATAAGAAGAGACACCAGAGAGCTTGCTTTTTCCCCACTTGTGCACCACGGAAAGGCCACGTGAGGACATAGTGAGAATGTGACTGTCTGCAACTAATATTATGCTGTTGAATGTATAAATTGGTTAAAAAATCTTGGAAAACTTGCAGTTTCTCTTAAGGATAAACATATCCCTACCATATAATTTAGCAGTTCTATTCCTTAGTATATTCTACTCAGCAGTTCTACCTCCAGCTTTATTCTTGGTAGCCCCAAAGTAGAAACAACTCAAATGTCCATCAACAGGAGACTGGTGAAGCAAATTATTGTTTATTCCTAAAAGGTAATATTATACAGCAGTTAAAAAGAGGGTTTGTTTTATCAGATATCAAGACTTATAAAGCTAAGTCAGTATACTATTACTATATTACTATACTATTACTTATAAAGCTAAGTCAGTATAATATTTAAGACAGTATACTATTAGCACAGAATAGACAAAATGTCCAATGGAACCGAAAGCAGGGGGCAGGAAAATCCATATAAATCTTGGAACTTGAGAGGTGAGAGAGGTGGCTTTGTAGATAGATCATCAAGGAAAGGATGGACTATACAACGGTGATGCCCTGACAGCTGGTTACCCATATGGGAAAAGAATAAAATCAATTTTCCATAAGGGAAAAGAAAAAAAAAGTCTATCTCACACCACATAAAAACAAACTCCAAACGGAAATACTTTATGCTATTGAAAAACAAAAGGAAATACTGTATCAGTTAGGAAAGGACTTCTTGAGGCACACAAAGCATAATTTTAAGGGAGAAGATTGATAAAGATTTGACTAGGTAAGATTTGACTTTATTAAAATGAAAATCTTCCTCTTCACCAAAAACTTCACAAATGAACAAAAAAGACCAGATCACATTGTAGGGGAATACATTTATAATACAGTTAACAACATAAGATTAGTATCCAGAATATGTTATTTTAAGGAATTGGTTCACATGATTGTGGGGGCTGGCAAGTCTAAAATCTGTAGGGCATGCCAGCAGGCTAGAAACTCAGGCAGGTATTGGTGCTAGGTTATTAAAGCTATCTATTAGTAATACCAATTTTGATTAACTTATCTTGCTCTAAGAAATTTGTAACTGATAATGGTAATCAGAGGACAAAGTGTGTTAATCAAAGGTGCTATTTCATTCTTTAAAATTAGTAAGTAGGTATAAATGTTACAAAACTAGATTAGTATAGGGAACTATAATTTTAATCCTTTCAGTTCTGTGTGACAGAGCATAGGAGAATTTTGGCAAATGGTTGTTAGGACTCTCTTTCAGGTTTTGTTTTTAATTTGGCCAACTTACCAAGGCTCAAATTGAGGGATGACCCACTTTTGCCTGGGTCAAAGCAACCAGGGCATGGGGAAAAATAATTGGTTTTTTCTTTGTAGGAAGCTTTGTAAGGTTTCCCAGTTGGCAAACACTATATCCCACATCTGATACGTGGAAGAGCTATGATTAGAAATATGGGTGTTTTCAAGTCACAGAAGGCCTCTTGGAATATTTAAGCTCTCTTTTAGGTGGTTCTCTTAGCTGAATGAGTAACATAACATGTCATTTGTATACAGATACTTGATAATGTGAAGAGCAGTATCATGTTCTTTATCTAGCGTTTGATGGCTGTTAACCAGTGAAATGAGAGATTAGATTCTGTGCAACTAAAAGCACACACTGGATCCCTTCAAACAAAACCATGTCACCTTCTATATAAAGTATTAAATTAGTCAATTGGCAAGATGTTTATGTTAGGCTATTGAGAAGAGTTATGCTTTCTTAATGAAGAATATAGCAAATGTTTCTGTAAGTCTAAGAAAACATTGACATTTACAAGATAAAAAATTAGTAACATAAACTAATTTGCACATGGAACGTCATAGTACCATATGATTCAGAAAACAATATTTTACAAAATTGGTAACTATACGTATTTTAAAATATTTGTAATATTGGCTTTCTAATAAGGAATACTAAATTATCAACTTTATCGTTTTTATCATAGAGAATTGTCTGTTTTTCATCTAGCTTTATATTTTTATACTTTGTCTATTACATCACTTTTTTCCTCCCTCTTGCACTGGGTTAAAAGGGAAAATATTTCTCAACTGTAATTGTCCTCTTATTTTCCATTTCCATATTATATGATTACTTATTAGAGCACTCATGGTATTGTTTTTGTAACTATTAATGGTAGTGTACTATTTTTGAAGTCAATACTGGAAGGAATAAGGCGAGATGTTGTCTCTGGAGCCAGGTCGATTGGGTGAATCTCCTCTCAGCAAATTACTAGCTATATATATGACCTTGGCAACTTGACTTCACTCTGTTCTTCCTGAGGTTTAATAAAAGAAGCGAATCCAATGCCTAGTACTTACTAGTACTTACTAAAAGCTAAGTAAATGTTAAGTATCATGATAGCAATAATAAGATTATTATTATTTGTGTGTTTATTGAATTTGTGGTTTTGTCTTTTTCAGGAGGTTCATGATTTGCTAAAAGACTATGAGTTAAAGTATTGTTATGTGGACAGAAATAAACGAACAGGTAAGATTTCAGTTCTAAGCATCTAATTTTATTTTGATTCTACATATTCATTATAGAACAAAAAAACTTAGTGTCTTTTTGTGCTTAAACTAATCATGAAATTCTTAAGCATTAAATCATATAAATGTTACACAATTTGTTTTCTGAAAGTAATATTAATACTCTAAATTTTAATCACATAAATGAATATGTTACTAGATACATGAATTTTTATAATGAATGTTCTGTTATAATGAGTGTTTTTCATAAAATATCATAGGGCTTGATGTCCCTATGATATTTTAATAATATATTTCTGGACTTAGGGAATAGACTGTGTGGCTGGGTACACTGGGAAACTTGAATAGTTTTTCTGGATATTAGTTCTATATTATGAGACTAAAAGACTAAACCAGATTATTTCTTTTGTGTGCATGTGATATTTAATTGTTTAAAAGCATCTTTTTGAGATAATAAAGTATGAAGGATGATACACATCTAATCCCAAATTAGCAAATGTTAATATTTTGTTAATATATTTGAATATAGATGCTACAGCCTAAAGTAGATCTATTGACTATTTTCAGGTTTTTTAAAGAAAATAGTAAAAAGGAAAATTACAGATACAGATGAAATTCAATTTCTGCTACTAATTCCATTTCCTCCCTCCCTCCCTCTTTACATAGAGTTAAACACTTAAGGATTGGGAGCATATTTTCCAATATGTGCCATTATATTCTGGTAGTCATTAGAGCTGTATTTAATTGCTTTCATTAGCCCCTCATACTACTTTGATGATACCACATTTGTAACTCTTTGTTAAATGTCTAGCGTCTCCTTTTGGATTGTGAGTTTTGTTGCAAGGGATCTTACCTGTTCTGTTCACTAGCACATTTCCAGTGTCTAACTTGGTACCTGGCACATAATACTGAATAAATAGGAATGGGAATGACTGCTTGAGGGAAAGAGGGTATGGAGTGAGAGAGGAGAGATTCAGTGGTTTGGGACTGCCAGATATGGCCACACGGGTGTTACCATGAGTGCATCTGTCAGGAAGGCACCCTAAGGAGTACCACCCTCCAGGTGTGAGTGGAAGAGAAAGATCTAGAAAGGAAATAGAGGAAGCGGTGTTTGGACTGTTATGAGAGACTGAATCAGGAGAGAGTATATCAAGGAAGTTAAGGAAAGGAATGATTAACAGTTTCAAGTACCCTGAGAATTAAAGTCAAGTAAGAGCTAATGATTTTGTGGGTTGATATAGGAACATAACCAGTATTTACAAACTGTTGACTCATTTCCTTGTTTTAGAAAAATAGAGTTAAGTGGTATATCAGCATAACGAAAAAAGACATAGAATCAAAACAATTCCAGCCCCCTTTAAAAAGGGTATTAGAAACCCACAGATAGTTTCACTGAGGGCAGCAAAGCCATTTTTTTCTCTAGTGTTGGAAAATAATGAATATTATAAAAATATGACAACAGATTAAACAAATTGGTGGTTAAAATTTAATTTTATCATATGTGAATGGGCATGATATTTCATTGATTTAGAACCTTGTATCATGTTTTTGATTATATAAATTGTCATATTGCATTTGTTGCTTGATGCTGAAACAATTTCAATAGGTAGACAGGACAGATGCTTTTTATTGTTTCATAAAGATATAAAGTTAAGTTTCTTGTCCAAGATCAAAATCCTGTAATTTTTTTCATTTGATATTGTTCATCCAAAAAGTATATCACAGATACAAAAAAGTGGAAAAGCATATCATGGTCATGGATCAGTAGAATCAACATCGTTAAAATGTTCATACTACCTAAAGTGATTTACAGATTCAGTGTAATTCCCATGAAAATACCAACATCGTATTTCACAGAGCTAGAAAAGATAATTATACGCTTCATGTAAAACCAGAAAAGAGCCAAACAGCAAAAGCAACCTTAAGCAAAAGGAACAAATTGGGAGGCATCACTTTACCGGACTTCAAACTATACTACAAGGCTGTAGTAGCTAAATCAGCATGGTATTGACACAAAAATAGCAGCATAGACCAATGGAACAGAACAGAAAACCCAGATATAAAACCATTCACATACAGCCATCTGATCTTTGACAAAGCAGACAACAATATACACTGGGAGAAAAGAATCCCTATACAAGAAAATCATGCTGGGGATATTGGATAGCCACATGCAGAAGAATGAAATAGGAGGATCCTTATCTCTCACCATTTACAAAAATTAATTCAAAATGCATAAAGGACTTACATGTAAGGCATGAAACCGTAAGAATTCTAGAAGAAAATGTGGGGAAAACTCTACTAGATAGCAACCTAGGCAAATAATTTATGAAGAAGATCCCAAAGGCAATCACAGAAACAACAAAAGTAAATAAATGGGACTTGATTAAATTAAAAAGCTCTACACAGCCAAGGAAATAAAATTAACAGCAAATAACCTACAGAATGGGAGAAAATATTCACAATCTATACATCTGATAAAGAGCTAATAACCAGAATCTACAAAGAACTCAAGCAAATCAGTAAGAAAAAAAAAATCAAGCAACCTATTAAAAAGTGGGTAAAAGACATGAACAGAAGCTTTTCAAAAGAAGATAGAAAAATTGTCAGTAAACATGAAAAAATGATCAATGTCACTAATCATCAGGGAAATGCAAATTAAAACCACAATGAGATTTATCATCTTATTCCAGTCAGAATGGTCTTTGTTAAAAAGTCCAAAAACAATAGATGCTGATGTGGATGCAGGAAGAAAAGAATGCCTATACACCATCGATAGGACTGCAAATTAGTGCAACCTCTGGAAAACAGGAGATTGCTCGGAGAACTTAAAATCAACCTACATTTGATCAAGCAATCCCACTACTGGGTATTTACCCAAAGGAAAAGAAGTCATTTTATCAAAAAGACATCTGCGCTCGAATGTTTATTGCAGCACAATTCACAATTTTGCAAAAATGTGGAATCAACCCAAGTGCTTATCAGTTCACAAGTGGATTAACAAAATATGGTACGTGTATACCATGGAGTACTACTCAGCCATACAAAAGGATGAATTAATGCCTTTTGTAGTAATTTGGATGGAACTGGAGACCATTATCCTAGATGAGGGATCTAAAGAATGAAAAAACAAACACCACATGTACTCATTACTAAATTGGAACTAACCAATGAGCACACATGTGCACAGAGGGAAGTAAAAACAACAATCAACCAAGGGAGATGGGGGGGAAGCGATGGGCAAAAACCTACTTATCGGGTACAGTGAACAATATCTGGGTGATAGTCACTCTTAAAATGTGACTCAAGCTGTATAAAAGTGATTCATGTGGCCGGGCGTGGTGGCTCACACCTGTAATCCTAGCACTCTGGGGGGGCCAAGGTGGGTGGATCGCTCAAGGTCGGGAGTTCAAGACCAGCCTGAGCGAGACCCCGTCTCTACTAAAAAAATAGAAAGAAATTAATTGGCTACCTAAAAATATATAGAAAAAATTAGCTGGGCATGGTGGCGCTGTAGTCCCAGCTACTTGGGAGGCTGAGGCAGGAGGATCGCTTGAGCCCAGGAGTTTGAGTTTGCTGTGAGCTAGGCTGATGACACGGCACTGTAGCCCAGGCAACAGAGTGAGAGACTGTCTCAAAAAAAAAGTGATTCATGTAACCACAATTATTTGTACCCTGTAATACTTAAAAAAATAAAAATAGGATATCCATTTGTGTGTGTGTGTATGTGTGTGTGTGTGTGTGTGTGCTGTTTCAATCTAATTAGTATGATTTGAAGAAAATGTATATGAATTGGAGAAAGAACTGGCCTCCTTTGAGCATCTGTGTGTCTTTTTTGCTGTACTTTCATTTTTTCAGGTCCTTGCTATCAAAGAGGGTCTTTTAGAACTCTCTTGAAATAAAAAGGTTTTGTAACCTCATTTTATTCCAGTGAGGGTATTTATAAATGCTTCATAAAATTTTATATCACTGGTTGTTGGGAAGAAAAATTAAATATGTGTGTGGTTGGAAAAGATTATTTAAAAAACCAAAAAATAAAAAAAAATCCCAGAATATTGTAGGATTTTACAGTGAAACTCCTAATATAATTCCTATATTTTCTATTTTGGTTACTGGTCATAAAATTAGTGGATTTGTCGGCATTAAAAAACACAAGAAAATAGAATAAAAATTATCAGTACATTGCATATGGTAGGGGTATTACTTAATGATAGTTTTGTTTCATAAAATATGTGTGTACTAAGTCACAGACATAAAGTATATTTCTTACTGTGGGTCACAATCAAAAAAGTTTGAAAACACTGGCCTAGAAAGCTCTTTAATTCATTTTATTATCTTCCAGCTTTTGTTACATTATTGAATGGAGAACAAGCACAGAATGCAATTCAGACATTTCATCAATATTCTTTTCGAGGAAAAGACTTAATAGTCCAGCTCCAGCCAACAGATGCTTTGCTGTGTATTACCAACCTGCCCATTTCTTTTACACTAGAAGAGTTTGAAGAACTTGTTCGTGCTTATGGAAATATCGAGAGATGTTTTCTGGTCTACAGTGAAGTTACTGGCCATTCCAAAGGCTATGGATTTGTGGAATACATGAAAAAGGACTTTGCTGCAAAGGCTAGATTGGAGCTATTGGGTAAACAGTTAGGAGCATCAGCACTCTTTGCACAATGGATGGATGTTAATCTATTGGCCTCAGAGCTCATTCATTCTAAGTGCCTTTGTATTGATAAACTCCCTAGTGACTACAGGGATTCAGAAGAGCTGTTGCAATTTTTTTCCAGTGTCCATAAACCTGTGTTTTGCCAGGTATGTATTTTTAAGAGATCATTAGAAATATTTAAAAATATGTGCATATGTATCTATTTTACACGCACTTAACAAATTTATCATACCTGTATGAATATCACAGTGAATAGTTTAATTCTGTTTTAGTCTGTAATTAAGATTTTAATGTTATGGGAAATTTTAAATCAGTTCCTTCTGTTGATAGGCCAAGAGTGTATTGTTAGGTAGTTAAGTATGCCTTAGCACATCCATTGCTTACTTATTCACCTTCTCATTCCATCCATTTGTCCAATTATTTACCCATTGATCTGTTCATCCATCCAACTCTTACTTGCCATGTTCTCTGTGCCAGACACTATGCCAAGTGTCAGAAATGCAGAGAATAAAAAGATACTCTATCTTGGGCCAGGCATGGTGTCTCATGCCTGTAATCCTAGCACTCTGGGAGGCCGAGGTGGGTGGATTGCTCAAGGTCAGGAGTTCAAAACCAGCTTGAGTAAGAGCAAGACCCCATCTCTACTAAAAATAGAAAGAAATTAATTGGCCAACTAAAAATATATAGAAAAAATTAGCCGGGCATGGTGGCACGTGCCTGTAGTCCCAGCTACTTGGGAGGCTGAGGCAGGAGGATCACTTGAGTCCAGGAGTTTGAGGTTGCTGTGAGCTAGGCTGACGCCACGGCACTCACTCTAGCCTGGGCAACAGAGTGAGACTCTGTCTCAAAAAAAAAAAAAAATTAAAAAGATACTTTATCTCAAAACCTCATCATTCTGGAGGAGAGACTGACAAGCAAATAATTGCAAACCATGTATGAAGAGTGATATAATGAAGGAAAGAAAAATATTATGAAGTTTAAAAAGAATGTATAATTCTGTTTTAATGAGGTCATGGTAGGTGAGACATTTAGAGAAGATTCTGAAAACTGACAACACTGGTGAGAATTTTCAAGCTCTTTATCATTGTAAAATTAAATATATCCTAATAAATAGAAATGTATACTGCATAGAACTCCTTTCCTTACAGATTTTATACAGCAACGAATCATTTCTTTCTCTCTTGCTTCTCTTCATTTCTTCCTTCTCTCTCTTCCCTTTGCCACCTTTTCTTCCATACTCCTTCTCCTCCTATCTCCCTTTTTTTTTTCTTCAATCATACGTTTGTTGAGTTCTTAGTATTGCAGTAGAAATTTTGGACTTGGAGTATATATATATATATTTTATGGGTTTGAAAAAAATGGATAAAGTTGCATTATGTTCAATGTGAAGTATTAATATATATACATTGTCAAATGGCTAAATCTAGCTAATGAACATTTGCATTATCTCACATAGTTACCATTTTTGTGGTGAGAATATCCACTTAGCATTTTCAAGAATACAATATATTGTTGTTGTTGTTATAACTATAGTCACCATGTTGTACAAAATACCTTTTTGACCCATTCCTCCTATCTCATTGACATTTTTATACTTTGACCAACATCTCTCCAATACTTCTGCCCCCCGCCAATCACCCCAGCCCCTGGTGACCACCATTCTGCTCTCTACTTCCATGAGATGTCTGTTTAGATTCTACACATGAGTGAGATCATGGAATAATATATGCTTTTAAGATTAGTGCTGTCATCTTTTTCTTATATCTCTACTCCTGTAGTCCCAATATAATAAGCATCATGCTTTCCAAACTGTATAAAATTAGAATATTTTGTGACAAGTATTTTAGTAAATCCTTGTCCAGTCATTAAAAATTGATTGTTTTATTGAGGTGCTATTCTTGAATACTAAGAATTATGTAGTGATGTCATCCTGTGGCCGTACGTAATTCTTTGTACCTTTAATTGAGGCCTTTGAAGCAAATGAGAGGAAAAAGCCATTTATCATGAATTGTATTTGAATAATGAATCTCACAGTGAGAGGGACCTTAACACAATCATATTTGAATTATGAATCCCAGAGTTGGAAGGGACCTTAGAGATTATCTAGTCTAGCTTTACAAACCTGATAGAAAAAATGTTTGCTACAATATTTTTGAGTGACTATTTAGCTTCTGCTAAATACTTTAATGGAACATTAAGTAGATTACAAGTCAGACTATTACATCTTTGGCCCTCATATTGAACCTAAGTAGCTCTCCCTGAAACTACTGATTAATGGACTTAAAATGATTTTGTCTTTTGAAAGACTCAGATGCTATCACAATTTATATAGGTATCATCATAATGAAGCAGGAACAGCAAAAAATATTTTTAAAGTTTCCAAAAGAGTAATAAAACAACTCCAGGATTGGAAAAGGTTTTATAGAGAAAAGGACATTTGAGGACAATTTTAAAGGGAAGATGTAATGTGAAGGAAAACTAGAAATTTGGTCTAAACCTAGAAGAAAGTAAAAGAAAGTTAAGCTTCAAAAATAAGAGAAGAGAAACTTTTAGGATTAAGAAATGATTAAACTATAATATCAAAGACACACCAAACTGAATTTTGTCATAGTTATCTCTTTATACCGTAAATATATTTAAGATAATTCAGACATGTTCAAAACTTAGAAACGTTTTAGCATCTCATTTTGTTTTTTATTTTTTGCTCTTTGTACCAGTCTTTACAGATCCAGGACTTTAGTATCTTCCTTTACACTCTTACAGGTGGGTGACTGGAGATAAATCAAGTTCTATGTGGCAGGGGTTTATTTAGGGCACATTCAGAAGAATAAAAGTTGTGTGTTGTTGTGGTATTTTAACAAATCTGGGGCACAATTTTCCTAAATAAGGCTTACTTTGGTACACTTGATGAAATTCCTGGGATCTGCCTAAAATATCGTTCTTCCTACCTTTCTTCTTGATAGTATTAACTATTTTACATTGGTCAAATATTAAATAATTGTTCGGTGTGTTTCATTGTCCATGTATCTGGTAAATTTTGTTTTAAAGAAAGTTTTAATTATTGTGGCCTCATATTTTTCCTATAAATTATCAGTTGTATATATTTCTTAATATGTAGGGACTATTACCATTTGGACTTTGACTGTTAAAATAAATTAGAAAATCAAAGAATTAAAAAGAAACTTTACAAACTCTTGTTTATCTTCCTGTCTTCAGGAAGAACTGCATCTAAGCAATTAGCAAACTTTTATTTTCATAGAGAAAGAATACATTCTTTTTTCACCAGTATCATACTCCAGTATACTACTTCTTGGATTTGAAAGTTACATATTGTAAATAAATGTTTCTAAATAAATATAAGAATTCCTGTTTAATAAAATGTATTACATCAGCTTGCACAGGATGAAGGTAGTTATGTTGGCGGCTTTGCAGTGGTTGAATATAACACTGCGGAGCAGGCTGAAGAGGTTCAGCAAGCAGCAGATGGGGTGACCATCAAGGGAAGCAAAGTCCAGGTTTCCTTCTGTGCCCCAGGAGCACCAGGGCGAAGTACATTAGCAGCATTGATAGCGGCTCAACGAGTGGTAAGCTCTTTTTCGTTTTTTTTTTTTTTTCTTTTAGGATACTGAAAGTTCTAATACCGTTTTAATTTATCTAATCCAGCAGTCCCCAACCTTTTTGGCACCAGGGACAGGTTTCATGGAAGACAGTGTTTCCATAGACCGGGATAGGGGGTGGTTTTGACATGATTCTAGTGCATTACGTTTATTGTCTATTTTATTTCTGTTATTACATTGTAATATATAATGAAATAATTATACAGTTCACCATAATGCAGAATCTAATGCCAAGGCTGTTCTGACAGGAGGCGGAGCTCAGGTAGTGGTGGAAGCAATGGGGAGTGGCTGTAAATATAGATGAAACTTCACGCACCCACCACTCACCTCCTGCTGTGTGGTCTGGTTCCTAATGGACCATGGACTAGTAGCAGTCAATGGGCCAGTGGTTGGGGACCACAGATCTAACTTATTCAAAGTGATCATTGATTGAATCACCATTGTATTTCCATTACATTGAAGACATTTTTCTTTTTTATAAAAAGTTGGTGGCCAGGTTTGGTGGCTCATGCCTGTAATCCTAGCACTCTGGGAGGCTGAGGTGGGAGGATCACTTGAGCACAGGAGTTCAAGACCAGACTGAGCAAGAATGAGACCTTGTCTCTACTAAAAATAGAAAAAATTAGCTGGGTGCCATGGTGCACACCTGTAGTCCCAGCTACTAGGGAGGCTGAGGCAGGAAGATCGTGTGAGCCCAGGAGTTTGAGGTTGCAGTGAGCTATTGTGATGCCACTATATTCTAGCAAGGGCTGACAGAGTTGAGAGTCTGTATCAAAAAAAAAAAGTTAGCTAGATGGTATTTTTGTCAAATCAAGGCAGAAGATGTCACAAAAAAAGAAATCATATTCAATAAATGTTTAGTTTATATTCTTCTTGAGAAACTTTTTGAAGGGAGTTCATTCATTCAGTGAATATTTGAGTTCCTGTTCTGTTCTAAGTTTTGAGTGCCTCAAAACATGCCTCTTTTTTTCAAGAAGTTTTCATAGTTGTCCATTGTATAAGTAGAGGAAGAGGTGCCTGCTTTTTGCTCATATGACATATCATATCTACTTTTTTATAGCAACTGTCTACTTCTCCCTGCTTCTCTAACCTAGAAGTTCCTGGGAGGTAGAGACTATTCCTTCTTCACAGTTTTTACCCTGTATTTAACATAGTAAATATTTGTTGATTGAATTGAAGGAATATACTTTTGAAGGAATTGGGGAAGACTTCATGATTAAGATGACATTTGAGTGTGACATTAAAGGATGGGTGAGGTATTGATGTGTTGATGGGGATGGAGGATAGGATTACCAGAGAAATACAGATTTTGCATGAGATATACTTAAATTAAAAAATTACTCATTGCTTATCTGAACTTCAAATTTAACTGGGCATCCTGTATTTTTGCTTGCTAAATGTGACAGCTGTAAGGAGGGAGAGTGTGTAGTCCCTGTAGGTGGAACAGAACCACCCACACAGTTGTATGAGCTGAATTAATATGCTTGCAGAATGGTAAGTGGTGGTTGGACAGGGTATATACAGGGGTGTTGGTTGATGCCCAAGCAGGGAAGACTATTGAGCACTCAGCCAGAGAATTTAGATGAATTTGATAAGCAGTGGGGAATTTATAAAACATATAAACAAGGCATTGACAGGATTATAGTTAAGCCATCAAGATATTAGTCTGAAAGTGACTGTAGGTGAACTGGAGAAAGAGGAGATTAGAGGAGGCAGGAAGTTGCTATTATCTTCTACTCTTCAATCTTGCGCCCTCCTCCTCTTACTGTTTGACCTCACCTTTGATCCTGGATCACTTCTCCCTTTTTTCTTGGTTTGTCCCCTCATAGGTTCTTCTGTCATTCTTACATCCTTGCTTGCATAATTCACTACTGCAGCCATTCATTCACTATCAACTGCATTTCCTCTGGTGTCTTTTTGTTGGATTTGATTTGCTGAGTTTACAGTTCTGAGTCCATCCAGTCACCTACTTCTGAAGTCAGTGCTGTGTCTTCTTGGAGAACAACAGCTGGTTGGCTTGACACCACTATCAATGAGTGGCTATGTTTATAGCTGGCCCTCCGTCAAATCTCTAGCTCATCTCTCATCAGCTCTTTTCTACCATTTTCTACAGCAACTGTCTAAAACCTTCACTCTATTCCTGCTTTTGTCCTTTCTCTGTGGTGATCATGGCTCCTACCTTATAGAAATACGAAGGCTGTGTGTTGCACTCATTCATTCAACTGTTCTTCCCCCGACCCCCTGCCACCAGCAAACGTGCCTCCATTTTTCACTTCCTTCTCTCTTCATGAGCATTCATCCCACAAGTACTTATTGGATACCCACTATGAGCAAGGCACTGTTAGAGAAGTTTAGGATTCATCATTGAACAAGGCCAGTAAAGGGCCCTGCTCTCTATGGAGGAAGAGCTGTGCCTCAAGCTGCCAAAGGAGCTCATGACCACGTCCCCATCCTCAGGGATCTTGATCCTTACCTTTCTGCTGATTTTCACTTGTTGCTCCACTAGTTCATCCCATCTGCTAGTAACATGCTCAAGCCTTTTCCTTTAAAAATTCTCTCTTTATAGCCATGTCACCAGAGTTTCTTGAACAATTAGGTCCCATGCATTGCTACCATTTCTTAATTCCCTATTTCTCTCTCAGCCTAATGCAATATAATTTCTGCCTCCCCTGTTCAAGTGAATGTATTCTCATTAAGATTAACAGGGATTTCTTAATATTCAGATCTAGTGGGTATTTTTCAGTCTTTTATTGCTTGGTCTCTTTGCAACATTTAAAACTCTCTACTACCTTGAAATCTTTTTCTTAATAGGAAAATGATATCATATTTTTATTTTTTTAAATTTTTTAATTTCAGCATGTTATGGGGGTACAAATGTTTAGGTCATGTGTATTTTCCTTGACCCACCTGAGTCAGAGCTTCAAGCATGTTCATCTCCTAGATGGTGTGTGCCACACCCATTAGGTGTGTATATATCTATCCCCTTCTCCCCCTCCCATCTGCCCAACCCTCGATGAATGTTATTACTATATGTGCACTTAAGTGTTGATTAGTTAATACCAATTTGATGGTGAGTACATGTGGTGCTTGTTTTTTCATTCTTGGGATACTTCACTTAGTAGATTGTTTTACCAAGGTATGTGTTTTTCCACCTTGAAATTTTTTTTTCTATTGTTAGAATGGCTACTTCAACTTTCTTTTGATTTATATTTGGCATTCTTTTATCAGCCTTTCTATATTTCTGTATTATTTTGTTTTAGGTGTGTGTCTTGTAGCTAACATGATGTTTTACCTTTTTAAAAAAGTCAAATATGAGCATCCCTGTCTTTAATTAGTGCATTTAGAGCACATATGTATATTGATTATTGTTCTGTTAGGATCATTTTTGCCATCTTATTTCATGTTTAACTATACTTTTTTCATTTATTTTCATTTCCCATCTACTTTGGATAGATAAGAATTTCTTCTGGTTTGAGAATTATACATTCTATCTTTATCCTCCTGGCGATGGTCCCTAATTTATTAACAGCTCTCAGTTTGCCAGTACTTCTGTCTTCCCACTGAACTCATTCTCACCTCTGTCTGCGTCCTCCCTCCTACCCTACCTACTCCCATATTGGTGTCTACATTTTTACTTTGGGATTGCCTTAATTTTTTTTTTTTTATGATCATGGCTTTGTATGCAGGATTAAAATTATCATATTATATACCTTAATTTCCATATATCATGTAATAACATCTTGCATTTATTTCTTTTTTCACTGGAATACTTCCTTGTAGGACATTTTGAAAGAGTATTCATGTGATAAAAACTTTTGAGAACTTGCATAATTGGGAATATTTTTATTTTTTTTTATATTTAAATAATAGCTTAGATGAATCGCAGAATCTAGGTTCAGAGTTCTTTTCCTGGAACACTTTGAAAATATGAATTCATTGTCTTCTTGAATCCAGTGTGAATGCTTTGAGATAGAAGATGATATTAAGCTGTTTCTTTTTCCTTTGGAATATTTCTTTTTCCTTTTCACTGGAAGCTTTTAGCAGTTTTTCCTTGGCATTGATGTTTTTAAATTTCATGCCAAAAAATTTGCCTAGGTGTGTTTTTTTCTTTAGTCATTATGTTTGGAACACTGTGAATCCTTTTATTTTGTGGTCTTTAATTTTTCTTTATTAATGAGAAATTTCTCAGGCATTATTTCTTCAAAGATGTCCTTCTTATTTTTATCTCCTCAGGAACTCCTATTGTATAGATGTTATCCTCTTCATCGCCTTGCTTTTTCTTGTTTGTTAGAATTTTCTGTTTCCTTAACCTGATCTTTCAGATTGCTGTTTTGTTTTTTTAGTCATCTACATCCTTCTATTTAACCTCTGTGTTAAAGCATAGGACGCAGGTTAAGAATAATGCTTTGAGTTTCTTCAGTTTCCTCATCTATAGAATGGGGATAATAACACCTACCTTTACAGAATTGTTTTTTGAGGATTAAGTGATTTAATCTATATAAAGTACTTAGAACAGGACCAAGTCTATAGTAAGTGAGGGTTACTGTTATAATACTTTTTCTCAACATTTATGTCTCTAATACTCGGTATTTCTCATTGGTTATTCTTTATGACTGCTTGTTTTTGTTTCATGTTATCTTTAAAAATCTATTATGTTTTTTAGAATGTCTTTTATGTTTGACATTCTTATATCCTATCCATTAATTTTGCTTTCTCTCTTACAGGTGGTTCCTTTTGTCACCATTATTTTTTAGTGACTGCATTCTCCAGATGTCTAGCTTTTTTTTTTTTTTTTAATGAATATCTATTTCCCTGGGAGGAATTTCAGCTTCCCTATATGTCACTGTTTAGAGTTGGGGGGAGGGAGGCAATCAGGAGAGAGCTGAAGCCTGGCCCTAGCTAGGGTTTAGGGAAGGCAGCCAAGACCTCAGGTCAGAGAAGCTCTGCCTTCACCATCTGGGCTTGACCACAGCCCTTTTCCCACCCCAGCCAGGCAGCCCTGCACCTTAGAGACCTTCTCTTCACCTCCACTCCCAACCCTCCTCTTTTCCAAATTCTGCCTTCTTCAATTGTAACCCTGCCCAGCTGGTGCTTCGAAGGGAGGAACTGAGATGGTTGGGGGGGCTAGGAAGGAGATTTTCAATGACCAGCTGGTCTGCCTACACCCAGTTTTATCTGGCCCCCATCTTCTTTGGGCTTGTGTGCCACCCTGCTGTTAATTTCATTGGTCCTGTGGTTGTCACTGGGCTGATGCTGCTGTTTGCTTGCCTTGCTGTGCGGGTTAGGAAAGCCACGCTCCCACGAAGGCAGGGTGGAGGGAACAAAGTAGCTAGGGAACCCCAAAGCCCTTCCAGAATCATGTTGTCTGTGGATCCAGGCGCTCTCATGCTCTCTGCTGCTATTTACCTTCATACCTTCTATCTCCCCTGGGGTTTTCACAGCTTTTATGTTAGTTTCTCAGATCCATGATTCTTTCCTCAGTATCTAGATGGGGAGAAGAATCCTGTTGTCTTTGTCAGTTCTCCATTTTCTCGTGGCTAGAAGTTTATAGTTTTCCTTTTATGTCATTAGGCTGTTTATTAAAGCTGAAAACAATTTCATATTTTTAGGAAGCTACAATTACATATATGTAAGGCTAGTTTATTCTAGTCTCATAATAGAGGATGACATTAATGAAATAAAGACCTTTATTACAAGAAAACTTTGAATTATAAGGCAACCCACATTATTAAACTTTAGATGAACATTATAATAACGCTGTTCTATAGTATCAGTGTATTCATCTTATGTCAACAAGTTATCTCTCTGCTAATAACTTCAGATTCCCTTGTCATCTTTCTATTTGAATTTTATGAAGAGATTTATTATACTAAATTGTCAGTCCTCTTGAAGCCAATTGGTATTTAATCAAGATATTCTATGAGGATTTCATGTCATGTATATGGTGGAACATCTAACATTATAATGAAGAACTGTGGTAGAAACTATATAAAAATAAATAATATAAATCAAATTGCTTTTATCATAAAATAAATCTTATCAGATAAATGAGAATTTCTGGAAGAAAGCCTTTAACATGACATCTTTTGCACTTATGCTTGTGCTGATGTTTCTTATTTCTGTGTTCTTTGAAGATGCACAATAATCAAAAGGGCTTACTTCCAGAGCCAAATCCAGTACAAATTATGAAAAGTTTAAACAACCCTGCCATGTTGCAAGTTCTTCTACAGCCCCAGCTATGTGGGCGAGCTGTTAAACCAGGTAAGCACCACGTTAACTAATTAAATATAGAATGTTGGCATGAACTTAATTGTGCTGCCTTACATGTGAAATGTGAAAAAATACATTTACTTGTGGAAAAACACATTTAAATTAGTCTAAAAATATTTAATTTTTCTAGGACCTGCTAATGAGTTTTAATCAATAATCTGAGGTGTTAATGTATTTTGACTGTTTTTGTAAGTACAACCTGTGTATGTGTTTCTTTTTGTTGTTTTGCTTTTTACTATTAATAAATGTTAAATATTAAACCTTCAGTTAAGCTCTTAGTTTACATGAATTTATAGACCAGGTAATAATTAACACACTACATTGTTGTGGCCTATATTTTTAGCAGAATTATTTTGTCAAAAAGTGCTAAATGTTGTTTCTCCTTTGGTCTTCCCTTTTTTTTTTTTTTTTTTTTTTTTTTTTTGAGACAGAGTCCTGCTCTGTTGCCTTAGAGTGAGTGCCGTGGCGTCAGCCTAGCTCACAGCAACCTCAAACTCCTGGGCTCGAGTGATCCTTCTGCCTCAGCCTCCCGGGTAGCTGGGACTACAGGCATGTGCCACCATGCCCGGCTAATTTTTTATATATATATCAGTTGGCCAATTAATTTCTTTCTATTTTATAGTAGAGACGGGGTCTCGCTCTTGCTCAGGCTGGTTTCGAACTCCTGACCTTGAGCAATCCGCCCGCCTCGGCCTCCCAAGAGCTAGGATTACAGGCGTGAGCCACAGCGCCCGGCCTGGTCTTCCCTTTTTTCAGTTGTAGAATTGTTTCACCCTGTAACAAATAACGAAAGTATTATTATTTTCTAAGTATTATGCAAATCTTTATAGTATATATTAAATATCTACCTATTTAGTATTCTTTCCCCAGTAAGAGGTTACCTTCTGAAATGTGCAACTTTATATGCACAAAAGTGTCTGTTTTAGCATTAGGAGGAAGTGAATACCTATACAGTAGTCCCGCCTTATCCACGGTTTTGCTTTCCACAGTTTCTGTTAGCTATGGTCTGAAAGTATTAAATGGAAAATTACAGAAATAAACAGTTCATAAATTTTAAATTGCATACCGTTCTGAGTAGCAAGATGTGATCTCATGCTGTCCCACTCTGTTCCCCTTGGGCTGTGAATTATCCCTTTGTCCAGATTATCTACTCTGTATATGTTACTTACCCATTAGTCCCTTTATCAGATCAACTATTGTGGTATCACAGTGCTTGTGTTCAATAACCTTTACTTTTTAAAAATAATGGCCCCAAAGCATAAGAGGAATGATGCAGGCCATCTGGATATGCTAAAGAGATGCTATAAAGTGCTTCCTTTAGTGAAAAGATAAAAGTTCTTATTTAATAAGGAGAGAAAAAAATTGTATGCTATAGTTGCTAAGATCTACAATAAGAATGAATTTTCTATCCATAAAATTGTGAAGAAAGAAGAAGACATTCATACATAGTATATATAAGATTCAGTACTATCTACAGTTTCAGGCATCCACTGGGGGTCTTGGAACATATCCCCCACTGATAAGGGGGTCTACGGTATTCAACTAAATACCTAAAGTTTAGAGTGAATATGTTTAGAGCAAATGTATCAAATACAATCATTCTGGTTCAGTCCCAACTGGTCTAACACTAGTTTGTGTACTGAAATATTTTTCTTAGTGTACTGCAGTTTAATTCTCGCACTGACTACCTAGAGCTAGCACAGACCCCACAAGAGCGCAGGCCTCCAAAAGACTGGCCCCACGTTAGACCCCAGTCACAAGTTCAGGAGATCTCTAGGCCACTAGCATTTCTGACCAACTGGCTACAAATCTGGGAGTTCCCACAACTCCCTCACATTAAATAATTCACTAGAATGACTTACAGAACTCAGGAAAGCACTATACTTACGAGTGTAGTTTTATATAATAAAGGATATAACTCATGCACAGCCAAGTGAAGAGACACTTAGGGCAAGGTCTTGGAGGGTCTTGAATGCAGAGATTCTGTGCCTTCTCCCCATCAAAGCAGGACCCGTCACCCACCCAGCACATTAGTGTGTTTTCCAACCAGGAATCTCTACTGAACTTAGAGTCCAGAGTTTTTACTGGGGTTTCACTATATGTGAGTGTGATTTATTGGCCCTGGTATTGGACTCAGTTTCCAGTCCCCTTCCACTCCCTGGAAGTTAGGAGGTCGGGCTGGTGGCACATGGTGCAAAGCCCCAACACTCTAATCATATGGTTGGTCTTTTGGCAGGGTTAGCCCCCATCCTGAAGCTATGTGTAGGCCCATCATGAATCACCTCATAAGCATAACAGAGACCCTCCTATAACTCTGGAAATTCCAAGCATTTAGAGACTCCCTCCTAGGAGCCCAGGGACAAAGGCTAGTAAAATTATTTATTATACAGCAATATTCATATGAAGTACTTCATATAATCATCAATTATCAACATTTACACATAAGAAGCAGTTTTGGAGGTTTTCTGACTTGGCCTGTTATGCAATCACACATCTCTTTTGCAGCTTTAATAGTACAAATTTATCCGTTTTTTGCCTTGACCGCACGAAGGAGTAAAAACTTATTATTTCCCAAGGCAACCTATTCCCCGGTTTGACAATGTTAATTACTAGAAAGTTCTTATATTAGGTGTTAATCCTTGTAGTTTTTAGCCACTTGTTCAAGTTCTGCCTCTGAAAAATACAGAATAAATCTATTCCTTCTTTTATAAGAAAAGCCTTCTAATATTTGAAGACAAGTACCAGGAAGCCTCAGTCATATTTTGTTTTCCCGATATTCTATTCCCTAGACCAGTTCTCCCTTTTTTTTTTTTTTGACTATGCAACCTTATCAGTAAAAAAATTTGAACAGAGCCCCAGTATATACCATGTATGTATCAATTATATAGCATTAAGTAAATGAACCTTTGTCATTCCATATAAAATATAAGGTTATAAATACTAAGGTTATAAAATACTAAGGTTATAAAATAACCTTAGTATTGTCCTTTTAAAAGATGAAAGTAAAAATAATATGAATTGTATGTTTTTCTACAACTCTCTTTTATACCTCTTATGTCTCTTTAGAAACTATAGTCCTATATTTGATTTTCCATGACATGTCAAAAGAGATGTACGTTAAATTCCCCACAAGTTGTTCTCTTGTGGATATAGTGTAGGTTTTCTGGGTTGTCCTAAAATATAGTGTGTGCAGACACAAATGTATCCTGTAGATTGGTTCTGATCAGCACAGAATGCAGTAGGATTTCCTGCCTATTATCGTTATTGTTCAGGTCTTTTATATCCTTACTAATTTTCTGTCAACTTATTCTGTCAGTCACTGAGGGGGAGGGATTGGGACAATGGTAGTCCAAGCCAAGAGCTAAGGTTAAGGGTGGGTAGATATGAGGCTGTGTACATTTTCAGATTGTTTTTATTCTGGTGGGGTTTGTTTGTTTGTTTTGTTTTTGTTGTTATAAACTGGGATATAATTGTGTTTAGTAATAGCTGTGAAGAAAAATATATTTCACTGTTGTACAACAAAATACAATGACTATCTGAAAAAGAGAGGAGGGGTTATTGAAATTTCTAGTCATAATTATGGACTTGTCTACTTTTCATTTAATTCTATAGATTTTTGCTTTATATATTTTGAAGCCTTGTTATTTAGTGCACAAACATTTAAGATTGTTGTATCCTCTTGGTGAGTTGGCTCCCTTATGGTAACAAAATCACAATTGTTATCCCTGGTAATAATTTTTTGCTTGGGAACTTTTTAATATTAATTTAGCCAGCAGTTTTAAAATATTAATATTAGCACATCTATATCTAAATATCAATAAATGTGTATATCTAATAAAATATCTTTTAAATTGCCAAGTGGGTTTATATTTTAGTTTATCTTAGAAAATCCTTTTCTCATATTTGCAGTATTACCACTGGCTGCTCCATTAATAATTTATGACTTTAGATTAATATAGTTTTAAAAGTGCTCTGGTGTCTGTTATTTGTAGTTCCCATAATAATTTTTCCAGGAAGGATATTTTCAGTTAGCTTTCATAGATGACATATCTAGGGCTTTGCAGTTTAGATGTTTTGTCCCAGGTGGTTGTTAATTTGTTAAGGAGGTGATGTGTCTTAAAAACCCCCATTCTTTGAACTTCAACTCCAGAATTTAAAAAGTATTAACTCTTCTACCTAAGTTATTTTTTAAAATTAAAAAATAAATTTTAATTGGCATGTAATAATTTTACATATTTGTGGGTACAGAGTGATTTTGTTACATGTATACAATGTGTAATGATTGAATCGGTAATTAGCATATCTATCACCTCAAACATTTGTCATTTTTTTGTGATAAATGATCCTTAGCTATTTGAAAATACGCACTAGATTATTGTTAACTATAGTTGACCCTACAGTGCTATAGAATGCTAGAACTCAATCCTCCGATCTCGCTGTAATTTTGTATTAGTTAACCAACTTCTCTAAATCCTCTCCTCTCTGCTTCCCTACCCCGCCTATAATAACCCCACTTCTACTCTCTACCTCTGTGAACTCAACTGTTTTAGCTCCTGTGTGTGAGTGAGAACATGCAGTATTTATATTTCTGTGCCTGACTGACTTCGCTTAATTTAATGTCCTCTAGGCTGATCTGTGTTGCTGCAAATGACAGAATTTCCTTCTTTTTTATGGCTGAATAGTTTTCCATCATGTGTATACACCACATTTTCTTTATCCATTCATCTCTTGATGGACACTTAGGTTGATTCCATATCTTAGTTATTATGAATGGTGCTACAAAAACAGGATGACACAGATATCTCTTCAATTGTGGATTTCCTTTCCTTTGGATATATATCCAATAGTGGGATTGATGGAGCATATGGTAGCACTATTTTTAATATTTTAAGGAACCTCCATACTATTTTCTATAATGTCTGTACTAATTTACATTCACACCAACAATGTATGAGAGGTCCCTTTTTTTCTATATCTTCTCCAAATTTGTTATTTTTTGTCTTTTTAATAATAGCTCTTCTGACTGGGGTGAGATGATACCTCATTGTGGTTTTGATTTGCATTTTCTTGATGATTAGTGATGCTGACCAATTTTTTCATATACTTGTTGGCCATGTCCATGTTTCTTTTGAGAAATGTCTATTCAGACCCTTTGTCCATTTTTAAATTGGATTATTTGTGTTTTTTGCTGTTGAGTTGTTTGAATTCCATGTATATTCTGGATATTAATCTCTTGTTGGATAAATACTTTGCAAATATATTTTCTCATTTTAGAGGTTGTCTCATCACTCTGTTGACTATTTCCTTTGCTGTGCAGAAGCTTTTTAGTTTGATATACTCCTGTTTGCCTATTTTTGCTTTTGTTACCTATGCTTTTGAAGTCTGACCCATAAAATCTTCACCGAAACAAATGTCCTGAAGCATTTCTACTATGTTTTCTTCTAGAAGTTTTATGGTTTTGGTCTTACATTTAAGTCCTTCATCACTTTGGGATGATTTTTGTACATGGTGAGAGATAGGAGTTTGGTTTCATTCTTCTGCATATGGATATCCAGTTTTCTGAGTACCATATTAAAGAGGCTGCACTCAAGTTATGTTTTATAGGTCAAGTAATATTTTCTCTAATTTCCTATGGTTAACTCCCTAACATATTGCTTGCAAGGGAGTTCCTGCTCTGTGCCAATTTTCTACCCAGAAATGCCTTTTTTCCATGTCGAAGTTCCCCTTCCATATATCTTCACATTATCATAACTCTCCTAAATTTATGCATTACCTCCATTCCCACACAGTCTGCGTACTTCCTCCTTTGCTAAAGAGAATATTGAAATCTGTTGAATTACACAGTTTCCTGTGGGTTGATTAACTGATAAATTCTATATCTGAAACCAAGCTGTTGTATCATTCTTGCTCTCTAAGGAAGTCCCAGTGTAGACTTAGATAGATACTAAAAAATTTGGTTGCAAAAAGGATTTCATTTATTTATTTATTTCACTTTTTATAGTTCAGTGTTTTCTATTTTGCTACATGTATATTATAAAAAACTATTAGCAGGACCTTTTCTGGACACTAAATACTTTGTATATTATATATACATAATTTTTTATATTATGACTATTTCTAGCTATTTACAATAATTAGATGGAATTTGTTCACATATTTTTAATCTCATGGTTCTTTTTGTTCTATATATTATCTATTCTGAAAACATCTCTTTTGAAATGTACTCTGGTATTTGGACTGTTAGTCTTGATTTAAGAGTATGGTTACCATTTATTCCTGTTACCTCTGTGTACAGTTTAGTTTTTATTTTGTAAATATTTTTGCATGCATATATTATCTTAGATTTTACTTAAGCTTTTCAGGGACAAGAATTGTTTCTTGTCTTCTATCCCCACCCTCTGCCAAAATCCCTGAAATACTTAAAAAACCACTAGGCAAATAACGTAGATTCAGTTAGTACTATACATACTAAAAGATGCATATGTTTTGTTTCACTAAATGCTAGAGAATATTAGGTCTGGCATTTTGCAATTGTGGCATAAGGTTTTGGAATTTTAAAACAATTTTTAGAATTGAATCACAAGAAAAAGAGCCTGTTGGTTTTGACTAATGACAAGGTTAGTATATCATTCAACTTCTAATGAATGTTAAAAGTGTAAAGAAAGCTTGTTTTATTTACTTGTAATTCCATATATCTTATAAAGTTTTTACTTTTATTTTCTCAAAGCAGTTCTCGGAACCCCTCACAGCTTGCCGCATCTGATGAATCCATCCATCTCCCCTGCATTTCTACATTTCAATAAAGCACATCAGGTACATTGAGCACTAAAGCATCAAATGTCTGGAGTGAATATGTTGCTTATTTTTGACACCTAAGGTTCTCAATAAGCTAAATGAGTATTTTACTTTGTAACAATTACTTGTTACCAAAGCCTTGGTAACAAGTGGCTACTAACTTCATACTTGATGAGTCCATCAGATCTATTCAGCTAATCAAAGCCACCTAGTTCTATATATTAATATTTATTGATTTATATTTGTAGAGCTTTAAGGGAAACAGTATTTTTTGTGGTGTATTTTTTTTCTAGATAACAAATTGGTTACTCAAAATAAGGCTTCTTCTGTGATCTTAAAAATGTATTTATAGAAAAAAATCAATAACTTTTAATTCTTAAAATTTAGTTATGTTATAAAAATAATTCATATATATGAGAATAAAGCATATTTTTTTACCTTTTTCAGATAAGTATATGTGTTTGTATATATAAATGTCCATAATCTTGGAGGTAAACATTACTCATTAATTTCAGGTACTATTTAATAATACAGAGTCCTAATTACAAGCCAAGCCTAATATATAATAGAAGTTTATTGTAAGTTGAATGAATGTCTAGTCCTAAACTCAGCTTTTTAAGGGAAAAGCCCATCTTTTATTTTTCATCCTTAGAATCTAACGTAGAACTTGGTGGTACATTCTAGGGTCTTTATTCATTCATTTGTTCAACACGTTTTATTGAGAATCTGACGTGTATGTACTAGACACTGCTAATCATTGAGGCTGTGACATTGAATAAAACATTCTCATAGTCTCTGCTGTTACAGAATTCCAAGCAGAAGAGAAAACAAACATTAAACAGCTAATTACCATAAGGTGTGAAGAATGATATGAAAGAGGGAATTCAGAGTAGTGATAATATTCCCTTTGTTTTAAGATAAAGACCAAAATGCTTAATTTTGCCTTCAAGGCCTGTGCAAGCTGGCCCCTCCTGCCACTCAGCTCATTGCACATCACTGTCACGCTAACAAGGGCCTGCTTTTGGTCCTCCTAAGGACCTTGTTTTCTCCTTCTTGTCTTTGCTCCTGCTGTCCTTCTGCCTGGAATACTCCCCACCCCAACACCACCCAGTTCCCCAGACTTCACCTGGTTATTTTTGCACAGCCTTCAGATCTCAGTGCAAGAGTTAGTTCCTCAAGGAAGCCTTCTATTACTATTTATAATTATATGTTTTTAGATTACACTTAATTAATGGCTCCCTTCCTCAGGGCACTATAAGGTTCATGAGGGCAGATCATATTATTGCATTTTTCACTGTGTAGCATAGTGCATGATACATAGAAAGTGCTCAGTAAATCTTTGTTGAATGAATAAATGAATGAATGAATGAATAGAACATCACTGTCGTTAAAGCCAAAACAGGGATGAGAGAAAGTATGAAAGAAGGAAAGAATATAGAATTAGTCTCATGACCACATGGTCATCTCCTGTGTATTATTGCAAGAATTAATTAGCTTTGCCTGAAATTTGAAAGTGAAATATTATGTAGTAAGAAGCTATTGCTTTTACTCAGATCATCTGGAGAATTGCACTTTAAAATGAATCGGGTTATACAAAAACAGCTTTTCAAAATTAAACTAACTTAATGTTTTATCATTTTCACAGAGCTCACTCATGGGTAATACTTCTAATTTATTCCTTCAGAATCTTTCTCGTGTACCACTGGCACAGCAACAATTAATGAAGTTTGAGAATGTTCATACTAACAATGTAAGTATGGTATTATTTTTTCTTTTGAAGTCAGTTTATTCCTTTTCTGGAATCAAGCTGTTGATAAAATCGTTTATGAATTTGTATATGTGTCGTCCTTTTTAGGTTCCATCTTACCGCCATGGGCAAAGGTCTTACCTTTTTTTCTTCTTTTGTAGAAACCTGGCTTACTTGGAGAACCCCCAGCTGTGGTACTTCAAACCGCACTTGGAATAGGGTCAGTGCTTCCACTGAAAAAGGAATTGGGACATCACGGAGAAGCACATAAAAGTAAATGATGTGTATTTACTGAGAAGTCAGTAAACAGTCAAGTTTGAGATTTACAGATGGTTTACCCATATTCTTCTTTTATTTACAGGAAGGTCAAATTTGAGTTCTGTTTAGTCATTTAAAATTTGAAGAACCCTTTTCTGTTTTTAATATTGATAAGTTATTGATGGACTTGCTTCCATGCCAAGTTAAGACTTTCCCTGTTGGATATGCTTTGATATCGTATGCAGGTTCACAGCAGTACGAGGTAGAGACATGGATCCGTTGAAGACTGACATGCTGCCCGCTGGGCGGACAGCACATTACCTATGTGTCCATTTAATTGTTGCCTGTGCAAGAAACTCTTAGCTTTTAGAAAAGAAACATCTAGTATTTATAAATTTAAAGTTTATTTATTTATATTATCTTTAAAATATGATCTCCAAATTAAGAGTGGAAGAAAATAATATATATACTTTCAAAAAGCATGACAAAACAATTTTTTTCCAGCAAAACAGGAGCATGCTATTTTACTAAGATTTCTTATTTAAATGTGATTTTGAAAGGCACTTGCAGTTTGAAATTTAACTGAAATTTGCTTAAAGTAATCATGCTGAGTGAAAATAGAATGACCACCTGTAATAAAAAAAAGTCAGTTAAATATGGGTAGCTTACTGAACCTCTTATCCATAAAGCCAACTAGTCAAATATCAAACTCAGTTCTGACTGTTGAAATTGACTGGGTAAAAGTTAAACCAGTGAACAAATTTTTGTAGTATGATAGGATCTGTTCTTCCAGAAAATTAAATTTTCTATGACTAAAAGCTTGTGTAAATATGTATTATTTTTGTTGGATTAAATAATAAGCCATTTGCTTTAATATGTGCTGCTTTAAGAACACTGAAAATTCAAAGTGTCCAAATAATTATATTGCTAAAAAAGATAGGAGAACCAAAGTATCCATCTCTAAATGATTATCACCAAAAGCAATTAAATTTGTTTAATGCATTTGTAAAATGTAAATTTGATTTATCAAAATTAGCTCTTTTCATTTAATTTTGACCTATAGATTTTTAGAAAATGGAATGGTTTAGAATTTTCCTATTAAAACATTTCTTTCTTTCAGAAGTTATTATTTCCTATAAATAAAAACCTAATACTTTTGTGTATTAAATTGAGTGCTTATCTATTCACAAATACTGAATTTTTAAAAAAAAAAACCAGTGGTACGCTGGTGTTTACCAGCCAGCTCTTGAGGTTAAAAAAAAAAAAAAGCCTTGATTTGTAGCATTTATGCATCCATATGTGTGAATACTTCAACGATGGCTGATTTCAGGTTACCAATATGAAGACAATGAAATTGAGAATTGGGAAGAGATATGCACAATCGGCTCTCATGAACTCATGCAAGCTGGCTAGCCAAATTTATTGTTGGTTTCAATCAAACTTTATTAATTTCTAAGTGTCAAAGAACATTTTAAACTTAAGACTTATTTATTTATTTATTTATTTATTTATTTTTGAGACAGAGTCTCACTTTGTTGCCCAGGCTAGAGTGAGTGCCATGGTGTCAGCCTAGCTCACAGCAACCTCAATCTCCTAGGCTCAAGCGATCGCTTCGCAAATCAAGCTCGCCGAGTAGCTTGGGACTAACGGCATGTGCCACCATGCCCGGCTAATTTTTTGTATATATATTTTTAGTTGGTCAATTAATTTCTTTCTATTTTTAGTAGAGACAGGGTCTCGCTCAGGCTGGTTTTGAACTCCTGAAAGACTTATTTAATTATTCCCTTCAAATATGGAAGCAGGCAAATTGCAGTGACTGGGCATAAAAAAAAGCACTGATATAACTTAAATGCCAAAAAGAACATAAACTTTGCTCTCAATTTTATCTTTAAAAATATATATAATTAAAACTTAGAATTAAAAAATTTAATGTTATTGTTATCCTGAAAGTTGTTAAAAATAAGATCATCATTAATATTGTAGGTTTTTGTTTTTTCATAAAGGAAATTCCCAATTTACAACCTCTAATCTTACCTTTTGAATTTAACTGTTCTCTAATAGGTACAAAGTTGATTTCTCCGCATTTTTTCCATAATTTAACAAAATCAGAAGGACTGTTGTGAATAAGTTTTGTCTAACTAAAATGTTTTTGCATTTGTGCTTCACTACAGCATCTAATCTGATTCCAACTCAAACAACTATAACAGCTGGAATGGGCATGTTACCATTCTTCCCAAATCAGCACCTTGCTGGACAAGCTGGGCCAGGGCACAGTAATACTCAAGAGAAACAGCCAGCCACAGTGGGAATGGCAGAAGGAAACTTCTCAGGGTCACAGCCTTATCTTCAGACCTATCCAAATCTTACTGCTGGAGGCTTGCTGGGAGGACACCACAAGCAGCAGCAAAGCCAGCCAAAAGGCACAGAGGTAAGTTCAGGGATAAGAAAACTGTTTATGTGCACATACACATATATGCATACATATATATATTCCTTTTTTATTTTATCTTAATACTAGGTATTCTAATTTGTAGTTACTTTACAGGTAGTATGATATATGGAGTAGTCATAAAGCAATCTTAAGTATTTTCAAGCTTAAAAGGAAATTAATAATGTACTTAAAGTACATAAATATGGATTACAAACTAGATAATTGCCATGTCCATGAAATGATGACTTGTTCATAGTGTACATTTACTTTTTCTTCAATTTCTCAAAATTGAAGAAAACATTGCATTCTTTAAAAAAAAACTTGTTATTATAAATGAGCAAACAAAAAATTTCATCTTTTGATAAGTTATACCTGCTGACATTTGGGACCATCTTAATTATTTGTTAGTTTGTCTATAAGTAAAATAATTTTAATTTTTATAAAATGAGTATTTTGTGTCTATTATAAAATAATTTAAATAGGAATTCTTTATTCATATATTTGCTTTTCTGAAAAGCTTGTGCTATGCATGATTTTTTTTTTTTTTTTTTTTTGGAGACAGAGTCTCGCTTTGTTGCCCAGGCTAGAGTGAGTGCCGTGGCATCAGCCTAGCTCACAGCAACCTCAAACTCCTGGGCTCGAGCGATCCTTCTGCCTCAGCCTTCCAAGTAGCTGGGACTACAGGCATGTGCCACCATGCCCGGCTAATTTTTTTTATATACATATCAGTTGGCCAATTAATTTCTTTCTATTTACAGTAGAGACGGGGTCTCGCTCTTGCTCAGGCTGGTTTTGAACTCCTGACCTTGAGCAATCTGCCCGCCTCGGCCTCCCAGAGAGCTAGGATTACAAGCGTGAGCCACCGCACCCGGCCTGCTATGCATGATTTTTAAAAATGTTTGATATTTTAAGAATCAGATGTAAACCAAGCTCAGGATTTTGTAATTTGGAAAAGCTTAGGAGTATCATTAGTACTTACTCAGTTACTTGATGACATTTATAAGGCTTTCTGAATAAATATTAATGTTATTCTTTAAAATATGCTCTTTTTCTATCTTAAATTTATATTCTGTAGTTAATTAAGTATTTTAATATTTAAAGGCAGAACCAATTTTATCTGAAAAACATCAAAATCAGTTATTAAACTCTGGTCTATTCAAAAGAATCTAATCTTTGTTTTAATTCTGGAAGTTTTTATCCAATCATTTTATTGGTTCATATACCATTGATATTTATAAATGTTATACTAAGTAGGTAAAATAAAGTACATCTAATTTTTATTTTATTTGTACCCCCAAATTCCCTTTGGTTTGTAAGTATTATAAAACTTGGGCAGTAAGCAGCTTGTGAGGAAAAACTTCATGCAGTTGGTTGTATTCAATGTTGAAATACAATAATGATGATGATTTTGTAAAAGGTTTTGGTTTACCTACTCATAGCAAGTGATATGGCTCGAATGCACTACAATTGTACATTGAGAAAGCTAAGGAAATTCTTTATAAAATGAATTTTTAAAACTTATCTACAGTATCCATTGCTTGGGTTATTGAGAGAAATTAAAACTTGTATATGAATACTTCATATCTTTTTGCAGTCTTTAATTCATTGAAAGCACCAGAGTCTTTAGAAAAATGATTTGAAGTGATTCATGTCATGGCAGATGAGTCTGTTTGCAAGAAGACAGCCCAAAAGGGCAGGGTCTGAAAAACAAGTCCTGTGAAGGAGAATTCCAGGGAAATGGATATATGGAACCTGGAAAGGGAAGCCCAAATGCATATACATTTTTTAAAATATTCAAAAGTAGTCATATGGTATTTTGTGTTTCTCCAGTGAGCAGAATTAGTTCAATACATATAACATACAATGAAGCAGATGTAGGCTTAATGTAAGGAAGAACAATTCATGCTTTCAAGCAAATAAAGTTGATTTCACAGAGATGGAATGTCATATCACTGAAAGCAGCTGGACCCCATCGATAAAGGATGTTATGGAAATGACTTCCCTTTCTGACGATAGGTGTTGGACCAGGTAACCTCAGTGCACTGCAAGATTTCTAACTGCAAGATTTACACTTTGCTGAGTAATCGGTTTAAATTTGCTTTAGATTTTTTAGACCTGCATCTTTAATACTGTGTTGACCAATGACTCTTGAGCCTGCCTTTTTGTTTCCAGAATCACCTCTGGTCTTTAAAAAATAATAATAATTGGAGAGAGCTGGACCCTAATGCCTCCGAGAATTTTATAATTTTGTTCATGTAGATAGGGACGAGATCTATAGTTTTTGTTTATTGTGGTAAAAGATACAAGATGGAATTTACCATTTTAACTATTTTTTTTTTTTTTTTTTTGGGACAGAGTCTCGCTTTGTTGCCCAGGCTAGAGTGAGTGCCGTGGCGTCAGCCTAGCTCACAGCAACCTCAAACTCCTGGGCTTAAGTAATCCTGCTGCCTCAGCCTCCCAAGTAGCTGGGACTACAGGCATGCACCACCATGCCCGGCTAATTTTTTCCATACATATTAGTTGGCCAATTAGTTTCTTTCTATTTATAGTAGAGACGGGGTCTTGCTCTTGCTCAGGCTGGTTTTGAACTCCTGACCTTGAGCAATCGCCCGCCTCGGCCTCCCAGACAGCTAGGATTACAGGCGTGAGCCACAGTGCCCGGCCATTTTAACTATTTTTAAGTGTAGAAGGGAGTGGCATTAATTACACTCACATGGTTGTGCAACCATCACCAGAACAACTTCTCATCTCATACTGAAACTCGATATCCATTAAATAATGACTCTTCATTTCCCACTCCCACTAGTCCCGGATGATCACCGTTTTCTACCTTTGTCTCAATGAAGATGACTATTCTAAGTATCTCACACACGTGGAGTCATAGAATATTTGTCCTTTTGTATCTGACTTATTTCACTTAGCATCTTAGCATTACGTTTTCAAGGTTCATCTGTGTTGTAGCACGGATCAGAATTTCCTTCTTTTCTAAGGCCAGATAATATTCCATTGTTTGTATATGCCACATTTTGTATGCATCCATCCGTGAACACTTGGGTTATTTCCACCTTGTGGCTATTATGAATAATGCTGCTATGAACAATGGTATATAAATGTCTTTTGGAGTCCCTGCTTTCAATTCTTTTGGAGAATTGCTGGATCATATTGTGATTCTGTTTAATTTTTTGAGGAATCACCATACTATTTTCCACAGCAACTGCACCATTTTACATTACTACTGGCAATACACAAGGGTTCCAGTTTCATAACATTATAGCCAACACTTGTTTTCTATATTAATTATCTACAACAAAAATACCATAGATTGAGGGGCTTAAACAACAAAACATTTGTATTTCACAGTTTTAGAGGCTGGGAAGGCTAAGATCAAGGTGTCAGCAGATCCAGTGTATAGTGAGGGTACTATTCCAGGTTTGCAGATGGGAATCTTTTCATTCCATCTACACATGGTGGAGAGCAGAAGCAAGCTCTCTTGAATCTCTTCTTATAAGAGCACTAATCCCATTCATGGGGGCTCCACCTTTATAACCTAATTACCTCCCAAAGGCCTTACCTATTAATACTATCACATTGAGGGTTGGGATTTCAACATATGCATTTTGTGGGGACACAGATATTTCATCTGTAATACTAGCCATCCTAACGGGTGTGAAGTGGCATCTTATTTTGGGTTTGATTTGCATTTCCCTAATGATTAATGATGTTGAGCATTGTCTTCATGTGTTTGTTGGCCATATGTATATTTTCTTTAGAAGAATGTCTATTAGTATCCTTGCCCATTTTGAATCTGGTGGTTCAGATATTTTTTTGTTGCTGTTAAGTTTTAGAATTTTCCTATATATATAGTTGACCTTTAAACAATTGAATTGCACAGGTTCAAACTTGTGTTCAAACTAGATATGTCAAAAAATTCAGAAAAAGGTGTATATCATGAATGCATAAAATACATGTAGATACTAGTATATTTTACCATACGTAGATAATAGTATATTTACTACCATAAAATATACACAACTCTATTATGAAAGGTTAAAATTTATCAAAACTTAAATGCACACAATCATAGACGGTGCATGGCACCATTTACACTCGAAATGTAAACATAAAGATGCAGTATTAAATCATAACTACATAAAATTAACTAGTACATACTACTACTGTCATAATTTCATAGACACCTCTTGTTACTATTGTGGTGAGCTGAAGTGTTGCAGGTATCTGCTTAAAATGCCAAAATGCCATTGACACTAATCATCTCTGCCTGAGTAGTTCATTTCTTCAATAAATTGCTTATTGCAGTAAAAAGTGACTTCTTACAGTTCCTACATATTTTTCATTGTGTTTAGTGCGATACTGTGTACCTTGAATAATACCATGGGACTCATACAAAGTGCCACTAGTGATGTTGGAAGTACTCTCAAGAAGCAGAGAAAAGTCATGACATTTTAAGAAAAAGTTGAATTGTTTGATATGTATGGTAGATTGAGGTCTGTATCTATGGTGGCCCACCATTTCAAATGGACACTTCATCTTAATATAAATACATGAAATAAACTTAACAGTTTTGATAAATACAGTACAGTACTATAAATGTCTTTTCTCCTTATGATTTTCTTAATATTTTCTCTAGCTTTATTGTAAGAATACAATATATAATACAAGTAATTTATGAAGTATGTGTTAATCAACTCTGTTATCAGTAGGGCTTCTGGTCAACTGTAGGCTATTAGTAGTAAAGTTTTTGGGTAGCAAAAAGTTATATGTGGATTTTCCACTGTGCAAGGGGGTCAGTCTCCCTAACCCCCATATTGTTCAAGGATCAATTGTACTAGAATCCTTACACCTAACTAGTTATGTAAAAATATACTGACGTCATATTTTATCATATATTTTCAAGAAATATGAATTTCTAGCATTATCATCTAAATGTAGAGTTGGAGTCTATTAAACTCATTTATTTTGTTTGATATTTAGTACCAGAGATAAATAAGGTTTGTTTTTGTTAGTTGGTTGTGGCCATAAAATATAAAATAAAAACCTTAATAAAAATGTTGATAACAGTATTTCTGGAAATGAGATACAGAATTTGTTTCTTCTTGTGAAGACAAACTGTTTCCTGGTTCAAGTGAGAATGTTGTACAAAATGGCCTTTAATCTCTTTCAGTTCTAAAGTTCTGAAGTTCTAGAATAGTTTTTAAAAAATAAAAAAAATCTAATTGAAAAATTAATAGCAGGTGAAATGTGATAATTTTAGGCAACTACCATAAGTATTTCATAAGTTAATACTATCAAAGATTAGGTTCCACAAAATTTTATCACACTATCACACTAGGCTAAATTTATTGAAAAATAAATATTTCTCTGTTCTTTCTGCATTTTGATTTTCTTACATCTCTTACTAAGCACCACCTCTCTGTTTTTCGTAAATAGGCTGCCTCTAAGAATCAGACTTCACTTTTGGGAGAACCACCAAAAGAAATTCGGCTCAGTAAAAATCCATACTTGAATTTGGCAAGCGTGTTGCCCAGTGTGTGCTTATCATGTAAGTGAAGGCCCCAGTATTCATATTTTGAAGTTTTATTGAATATTTTCCATGAGTTTTACTTTAATTTTTAACTTAATGTAAGCAAATAATGACTATTGACAAAATTAAGGCCTGAATTATTCTTTAAATTGAAAGAATAATTGAAATTAAGACACTTTAAAAATGTGTACTATTTTATTTAAGGAAAATATCTTTTATGATATTTTTATTGAGAACATAATTTATCAAATTGTTATGGAATCATGATTGAATATAATTGGACAAAGGAATTATTTGGCAATATTGTAATTCAGGGGTCCTCAAACTTTTTAAACAGGGGGCCAGTTCACTGTCCCTCAGACCGTTGGAGGGCCGTTGGAGAGTGCGGCGCACATTCCACACATGCGCACTGTGGGCCCAGGACGAGTCGGCTGCTAAGCAGGACAGGCAGCGGCGGCCCGGCCGGCTGGATAAGTGTCCTGTGGCCCGCGGGCTGTAGTTTGAGGATGCCTGCTGTAATTCTTTACAACGCATACAGAATCATCTAAAACAGTGGCTTAAACCAATAAGTATTAAATATCCAGAGTATTTGGATACTCCCAAAATGTATGAGCTACTGATATTTGCAGAAATGGAATTCTCATTTACTTTTTGGAGGACCTCATCAGGCTTCCACTTACTGTAAACCAGCTATTTATTTAGATATAGTTTGAAGAGAAAGTCACAGATATGATGTGCTCTAGGCACAGGATATTCACTGAGACATTGGTTGTCAATAGTGAAAAACTGGAAAATACCTTAATGTTTATCAATAGGAGACTGGTTAAATAAATGAATAGTACATCATAAAATGGAATACTTTGTAATTTATTTTTATCATTGAGGGATATCTATGTGTACTAACATGAAATGATATCTAAAGCATATTTTTAAGTATAAAAGGCAAACATATGCATATAATTATTCCATGTATGATTATTTAAAGCTGTATATCCTCACATGTACATATTTGGGTATGAAAATACATAGAGTAAATCTGAGAAAATAAAATTATTAATTATTACCTATGTGAAGAATAGGATTGAATGAAAAACTATGAAAGATGAATTTCTTTTTCTTTTTTTCCCCTTGAGACAAGGTCTCTGTTGTGCAGGCTGGAGTGCAGTGGCATCATCATAGCTTACTGCAACCTCAAACTCCTGGGTTTGAGTGATCCTCCTGCCTCTGCCTCCTAAGTAACTGGGACTGCAGGCTCATACCATCACGCCCAGCTCATTTTTCAAAGAGACAGTGTCTCACTATGTTGCCCAGTCTGGTCTAGAACTTTTGGCCTTAAGTGATCCTCCCACCTTGATCTCCCAAAGTGCTTGGATTACAGGCGTGAGCCACCATGCCCGGCTGAATTTCATTTTTAATATACATCCTCTATTTTATAAAGTCTCCTTGAACCCAAACATTAATTTGTGGTTTTTTTACAGCCAGAAAAAAATTTAAATGTTCCTCTAACATGACTATTATATGTTGATCTGGTCTAAAAATTTATTGTGACAACTACTGTATTCACAAGAATGGTCAATTTATATTTTGTATGCCTTGTTTTAAAGATTGGACATATATTACTTTAAATTTTTCCATCAAAATTATTTACACATAGGACAAGTGTTTATTTTTAGTTGTTTCAAATGAATGAGACACTATCATATACTGTATATATTTTTTCCCCTGGGGAAAATAAATATAGATATATATTGGCAAACTAAAATTTGTTTTTTTATTTCCAAATATGGTGAGTTGATAAGTTTTGCATTGTTAATAATAAAAAAACCTACATAAAACAAACATTGATTTTGCCTTTAGCCTCTGCAAGTAAAACCACTCTTCATAAGACTGGAATTGCAAACAACATTCTGGATGCAATCTCTCAGGGAAATGAATCACAACACACATTGGAAAAGTGCATTGCTTATTCTCCACCTTTCAGTGATTATGCACAGGTAAATGATTATCAGGTTCTGATGATATGTAGAAAAACTGATTGGACTATATATTGAGTTCACTGAATATGAAATTGTGATTCCTTTAATATTATCATAGGAAAGTAAAGTTGCACTGATCTATACAATATTTCTTGCTCACCATTTAAAATTTGGGAATGTATTCAAGAGATTGTTTAGTATCATTTTGCATTAGATATTTACAGTTAGTAGTCAGCAAACTGCAGCCTACAGAGCAGATTCAGCCCACCACCTGTTTCTGTAAATAAAATGTTATTGTAACACAGCTATGTCCATTCATTTACACATTATCTATGGTGCTGTCATGCTAAAATAAAAGAATTGAGTGGTTTCAATAGAGACTATGTGGCCTGCAAGATTAAATATTTACTACCTGGCTCTTTATAGCAAAACTCTGCTAACCTCTGGTTTATACCAGTGTAAACCTAAGAAACCCAAGGGAATGCCTCTGTTCTTCACTACTGCTTATAGATGTAGGAAGATGATGATCTTTACAGGCACTACTGTGCTAACTTTTAAACCAGTCAATCAATAACATTGAAAGTATTATATTCAAAAGATGTACTGTGTCATTATTTAAATATGTCCATTTTGCTTTGGCCCTTTCTTCTTGAACTTAGTGGCTTAAGCTGAGAGTATATATCAGTTAGTACTCTGTGATTATGGAATCATGAGAGTTTTATAATTAGCAGTTCTGATTCTTTCTTTTTTTCTTAGAGCAGTCAGCTCCTCAGCTCTATCCTGTTTGTTGGAGCAGTGCCTCCATTTTGATTTCCTTGGAGCAACTCTGTTTGCCTCATCTGTATCTAATAACTTAGAAAACCACTGTGAATTCACTTAGAATAATTGATGCCTGATTATGCTTTTATGATAGGGTACTAGAAACACAGGTCAAATTCTTTAAAATGGTGCAGCCAGGTATTAGTGAAATATATAATAAAGTCTCTTATGTACGTGAGACAAGATGGAAAAATATGGTTGGAAAGTGATGTAATTAGGTGACAGCATACCTATATTTAAAGAACAGTGACCATAAATTGATGCAGCCTGAAAGGCATTCTCTTATGTTGTTTCATAAGATTCCATCTTTGTTAAGTAATGACTTAGATAAGGACATCAGTTGTATTCTGATTACCTTTACAGCTGACAAAAGACAAAGAAATTGTTGGAGATGTGTAAAATTATTTATGAATCATTAATAGTTGTGAATATTAGAAACAACCTAAATTTCCCACAATGCATAATAAGACTGAGTAAACAACTTATGTCATATTTACACCAGTCAATAAAATGCAATTATTAAAAATCACATAAAACAAAATGTAAAAACATGGCAAATTTTTCATAATCCATTGTTAATTTATAAAATTTACAAAATATAGTCCTATACAATTCCAATTTTTTTGTTTGTTTATAAGGAACAAAATTTACTTTTAGAAACAGGAGAAGCACAATAAATTCTTAAAACTTAAATGTATGATGTAAGCTTTAAAAAGTAATTTTTGTACTGACCTTTTATTTCACTTTTGAAATTAGTCTCACTTAGCAGTTTTGCTTTTTAGATTACTGTGATTTATTGTATATTTAATATATCCATAGGAAGACTCATGGACACATGGAGAAAGTCTGTGATAGTGATGCCTTTTGCATTGCCAAGTGTCCTCCTGCCTCTACACTTGGGGCTTGCCCAGAGATACAGTGGAGGAGTGCCCCCTTTGACAGTCCTTGTTTCTGCCTCATGCTTGTTCATAACGTGAGATTTCTTCTCTCTCTCTCCCGTGTTCTTTCATCCTATAAAGTAATCTTAATTAAATGTTACTAATGGAATAAAGTAACTAGAAAAAGGTGATCATATGTTAGGAATTCCTTCTATTTCCACTGCTGGAGTGGAGGAAGAGATCTAAGACAGCTTTTGTTTTCTTTTTAACACTTGCTATATGCTTTGCAATGTAGGTGTTTACTATTTCTAACAACCCTGTGAGATTTAAATTACCACCTCAATATTACAAGTGGAGGCCGGGCGCCGTGGCTCATGTCTGTAATCCTAGCATTCTGGGAGGCTGAGGCGGGCAGATTGCTCGAGGTCAGGAGTTCGAAACCAGCCTGAGCAAGAGCGAGACCCACCCTGAGCAAGAGTGAGACCCTGTCTCTACTATAAATAGAAAGAAAGAAATTGGCCAACTAATATGTATGGAAAAAATTAGCCGGGCATGGTGGTGCATGCCTGTAGTCCCAGCTACTTGGGAGGCTGAAGCAGCAGGATTACTTAAGCCCAGGAGTTTGAGGTTGCTGTGAGCTAGGCTGACGCCACGGCACTCACTCTAGCCTGGGCAACAAAGTGAGACTCTGTCTCAAAAATATAATAATAATAATAATACAAGTGGAGAAAGCATAAAGGGGAAAGTAATCTTTAAGTTCCTACAGTTAGTAAATGATTTCTTGATTCCAAAGCCTCCATTTTCATTATACCATGGAGAAGTTTCTTCAGGCATGGAAGTAATGTCTCAGAGAAACTGTATAGGCTGCTATGCATATTGAGAAATGAATGTGCCGAGGCATCAATAGATAAAATAATCTTTATTTCCAGTAAAACTATCACATTTAAAAATCCACATTGGCATATCCAGTATTGGTGAAGCTGCTTATGTTGTACGATCTCCCTATAGATAACCATTATTTTTTTTTTTTTTTTTTTTGAGACAGAGTCTCGCTTTGTTCCCCAGGCTACAGTGAGTGCCGTGGCGTCAGCCTAGCTCACAGCAACCTCAAACTCCTGGGCTTGAGTGATCCTTCTGCCTCAGCCTCCCGGGTAGCTGGGACTACAGGCATGCGCCACCATGCCCGGCTAATTTTTTATATATATATCAGTTGGCCAATTAATTTCTTTCTATTTATAGTAGAGACGGGGTCTCGCTCTTGCTCAGGCTGGTTTTGAACTCCTGACCTTGAGCAATCCGCCCGCCTCGGCCTCCCAAGAGCTAGGATTACAGGCGTGAGCCACAGCGCCCGGCCATAGATAACCATTATTAAAACTGGACTAAATATGACAGAAAAACAGCTATTTAGAACCACTGGAGAATGATCAGCAGCAGGCAGAAACTGAAGGGGAATTAGCCCTTGAAACAGGAAGACTTCCCTGTATGCGATTTGTGTTTCTGTGGCTTTTTGCCTCACATCACCCCCTAGTCTTGGCAGAAAGCTGTGGTCTTACTTACTGGCTTGAGGAGTCACAGGACAGAGTTCAGGACTGTCGGCAAGGCTGTAAAGTAAGGGGGGAAATACTGGAGAAGAGAGTGTTTCATAGGAAGGAGCCTCAAAGTCTACTTGGCTGGTTTCTGAACTATATTTGTGTGAGGGAATTTCTAGGGGACCCGATAGAAAACAACAGCCGAAAGGCTGAAAGAACTGAGAAGAGATTCAGTTACTCTCCAGCACAGAGGAAACATAGTTAGGAGTTTGAAGGAGCAAAATAACCCTTCTGGAACAAAAATCAACACTTTTCAGGGGAAGATAATATATCCAGCAAACAAAAATTGCTAGATAGTTGAAGAAGCAAGAAGTGCAACTCACAATTGAGAGAAAAAGTAAATTAGTAGAAACTGACCCCAAGGTGATACATATATTGGTCTTAGTAAACAACTATAAAGCAGTTATTATAAATATGTTCAGGAGCTTAAAGGAAAATAAAATCATAATGAACAGGTAAGAAATCTCAGCCAAGAAATAGAAAGTATAAAAAAAAACTGAATAATTCCAGAACAGAAAACCATAATATCTGAAATAAAAATACACCGGATGGGCATAGCAGAAGATTGGAGAAAGCAGAAAAAGAAGTTCAATAAAAATAAATAATTCCATCTGAAGAACAGAGAGAGAAGATACATATTTTTTAAAGCCATGAACAGATTCCCAGGGATCTCAGGAAGATACCAAGCAGTCTAAAATACATGTAAGTTGAGTCCCAAGAGAAGAGAAGAAAGATAATGGGGCATGAAAATTTTGAGGAACTAATAATCAAAAATTTTCCACATTTGCTTCAAGAAACTGACACATCTAAAAGACTCGGATACCGTCTTGCAAATAAGGATAAATAAAAAAAATTTTACCTAGGCATATAACAGTTAATATGCTGAAAACTATAGTTACAAAGAGATACTCTTGAAAGCAACCAGATAAAAACAGTGCACATTATCTTAAGACAGTCTTCTCATCCTTGGCACTGTTGACATTGGTGGCTGGGCAATTCTCTCTTAACCACTTCGGTATGGCACTCATTGGCCTTGAAACCTTGCCCACATCCGGCACTCACAGTCCACACAATAATTTGTGCTGTGCATTGACAACAAATCCGTTTTGCTCTTGTGTGATAAGGAAAGCTTTAAAGCACTGAAAGCTTGTTTTACTTTATAGGCAGCTATACTTATAAATCAGAATAGGTAACATATACATATATGTTTTCATTGCATTATTTTTAAATGCTCACAATTTTAATAAATGAAAAATTAGAAAAGTCATATCACTGCTGTCGGCTAAAGTTGACACTTGGCTGTGTGCCTTCATATCACAGCTGTCGGCTAAAGTCGCTGTGCGGGTTCATCTGTGGCTGCCGACTATAGTCGACGCTCGTACTGAAGTGGTTAAGGAGGGCTCTTCTATGCATTGTAGGATATTCAGCCACATCTTTGTCCTTTCCCCCCATTAATAATCACTGTGTTAAGACAACTGGTAAGTAAATATGTGGGTAAATTTTAAAAGATTATATATTTTCTCTTTATTTAAAAGCAAAAATTACAACATTATATTGTGCCATTTATAATGTATGTAGATATATTTGACAACAGTAGAACACAGGACAGAATGGGGTAAACAAATGATGGTTGCGAGGTATTATATTTTACAAGAAGTGAACAACAGTAACTCTAAATAGACTGTGATAAATTATGAAACATTGTAATTCATAGAGCAACCATTATAAAACTATAAAAAGAATATCTAAAATGTGAGTAGTTTAATTACAATGAAATTCTAAAAACATTTGATTAAGCCAAAAAAAAAGGAAAGGAGAAAACAATTAGGTGTAATGAAAGCAAATTATCCAAGAGATAAACCTAAATTGAATGACGATAATTACATTAAATGAAAATGCTACCTGCTCCATTTATAAAAGTTTCAACAAGGCAAGAATAAATATTATACTTTTACCACTTATATTCAACATTTTACTGGAGATTTTAGTGCAATAAGGTGGTTTAAAAGTATGAAATTGGATATAAAAGTAAAAATGTTTCTCTTTGCATGATTGTTCACATGAAATATGATTGTTTACATGAAAAATCCTTAAGAATCTAGAAAGTAACCACACACACACACACACACACACAAATAAAAAGTAACCACTAAAACTAATAAGTAAGCTTTGCAAGGTAACAGGTAGGACAGCACAAAAAAACCAAAGTAGATAAAAATGAGTCAGAATTCATCTTAAGTACTTTTTCAGTTTGACAACATCATTGGTTTCAATAACATAAGCAGCATTTTAGCTATTTGATATGACTGTTCAAATTGTGATTTTGATTTTTCATTTGCCACTTGGCATACTTGGCAGTTGCCTGGCCTGCTGCACGACAGTACCATCTACTTGCATGTTGCGCTCTTGTGTTACCCTGGTTGCAGGGTCTTTCCTGCCAGAAAGCTGACTGCCTGTTCCAGTGAATCGGCCACAGAATGTGTGATGAGATGCTGTGATGGGAAAGAGGAAACAACAAAAATCTTGGAAGATGCTTGGTTCCTTCATGGAGCCTAATGCTGCCATCTAGTGGTCCAGTAATGCAGACAGACTCTCCAGGAAGTCATTATGTGATGAATGCTATGAGGACCTATTTGATAGGTCAGAATCGTATGACAAACATTAACCATACAAAAAAAAAATTTTTTTTTTTTTAGATAAAGTTTCGTTCTGTTGCCCAGGTTAGAATGCAGTGGCGTTGTCATAGCTCCTGGGCTCAAGCGATCCTCTTGCCTCAGCCTACCCAGTATTTAAAACCTAAGCCTACTTCAAACAGGGGAGCACAGGTTATCTATATAGTAACTCTAGACACTAACTTGGAAAGTACTTTTAAAAAGTGTTTTTGGCTACAACTGGAAAGCAAGCTATTGAAATTTATTTTAAATGACCTTATTTTAACCAAATTGGTCTCTTATATGTTCAAAAAATCAACAAAAAGACTAGCATATAGTATAAATAAATCTGAGACAACTTTGAGTTGCTACTCTGACATGTTAGTTTAATTTTCATGTTGCATTTTGATTTTGTAAAAGTGTTATTAAACATATTTATATCTAAGATACATAATTTGTACAGTTTGGTGTGGCCACTGAAACTAGTGAGGTGATTGAGTTTCACTTTTTTATATTTAGTGCAGTACAATACCTTTGGGGGGATGAATTTTTAAATCCAAAGTTAACGATTACTCATTACTCATGAGGAAAGAGAGTAGTTAAGAGACAAAAATGAATATGAAAATTGGAAACATTTATGTATATGTAAGGAATAAACATCATTAATGTCACAGAGTGAAGCATGTTTTTAAACATTTAACAATGGGGAAAGAAAAATTCTATTTTAAAATGAAACTTTAGAAATATTTAATGCAGAAAAGGCAAAATTAATTCATGTTTCTGTTTTAGAATTCTAAAATTCAGGCTGGACTTGAGACAATAGGAAAGGGATGTAAGGGATTTGATTCGGATCTCAGCAGAACTAGTGCAGTTGTTCATTTTCCATCCTCTGTCCGCCTGACTCCACAGAAGAGACAGCGCTTAGACCTAGGGGAAGTGGGGCTGAAGGTGAGACTAAGGAGTCCTAAATAGAGGCAGAATTTCCTGAAAACCAATTTGATTTTGTATTTAGGGGGCTCCATGCTAACTGCTTACATTTTTTTCAGAAGGGCAATAACGATAAATATCCTTAATTGGACTGGGTAGCAGATGAGCCTAATGGAATTCAGTATCAACGTTAACATATCCCTAAAGAATCTTCCTGAGGGATAGTCAAGATTCCCCTTTCCTAGATTCTTTTTTTTTTCCAAGTGTTAAAGCAGAAATTTATTAAAATCCATTTATGTAGTGTTGTACAGACAAAATGCAAAGTCCTCAACATTGAAGTGCTTCATGAGAAGATGAATTTCTGTGCCCTCCCCCCAATAAGATACTTGTCTTTATGCTCCTGAAAATGATGCATTTAATTACACCACCTTCCTAAGAAGAATTCCTTTGAGATCCCAAAACCTCTGCAGAGTGAAGAGATATTAGCAGAGAACCTTCTCAAAAATGCAATGGCTCACCACAGAGGTGCAGTGCAAGAGATACATAAGATGGTGGTTCTTCAGAGGAGTGTGTGCACACCTAGCAAGTGAGCCACAAGGACAGCCTGAAGGCCCAGCTGGGCAAGCCCTAGCTGCGGAGTGTGGCCAGCCAGGACTGCATGGCCTCCAGAGCCTCTTCTTCCTCCTCATCCTCTGAGGCAGCCATCGCTCCTTCAGGTTCAGTTTCTGGAAGGGCGTCAGTCACTTTACTGGGTGCCTTGCCCAACGCCCCTGCTGTAATTTCAAACAGAATTTTGTCAGTTTCCATTTCTGCTGCTTCCTCCATTTCTTCCTGATCATCCATGCTTTCAAAAGTGTCCTCTACCATCTCCTCTATGATCCCAGCCTTCATCATCTCTTTGGATAGCTCCCGCATGGTGGCCTGAATTTCTGGGATCTTCACAAGACTTTGCATGGCCTTCATCACTTCTGTGCTCTTCTGCAGGGAACCAGCCACTCGCAGGACCGCAGGCTGATTCTTCATACCCATAAGGACTGAGTTCATGTGTGCTTTGGATGCATAGAGCTTGCTCACCGCCTTCCTTGACCTGATCATCTCCTTGGCCAGAACTACACAGACATCCTTCTGGCCCTTCTTGGCAGCATCTTTCACAGATCGTTTCACTTTTTCTTCTTCTCTTTGGATATCTCTTATTTGCCTGTCAACAACTCTCATTTCCTTTTTTATCTTCAATGACCATTCATTGACCAGCTCTTTGGGAGGCTTCTCCTGGGTTTTTCCAAACAGCCCCATGGCGAACTAAACTCGTCTTGCCCCTTCTGGCTTTCCGTTCCCTGCGCCTCTTTCCCATATTCTTAAAAGAGCTTTTAAAACTAGCCCCCAGTTCAATTTACATGAGCTTAAACATTGAACTTAAGATAACACTGTAAGCATTAAACTTTGGCTGTCAAAAATGAAATCATGACATTCTCTTTCTGCATTCATTTGGAAATCAATGGAATAAAAGAAAGTCTACATTTACATGAAGATAAGATTTGCTTTAATAATTTTTTTTTATGTAAAAATAAAGTAGCAACTACATAGATACAGAATGGGTTTCATACTAGATGTGTGCTAAAGATTGGATTGTTGGGTGGCAGTTAACAGAGCCAGTCAGTTTTAAGTTCTAGCAAGAGAGAGAGTACCCAAAGCAAAAAGCATGATAATCTGCTTTACCAGGCACTGGTAAGATTACAGTATCCAGTTCTTGAATGTTGAGGTGTCAGAAACCATGGGACATGACTTGGCTGAAGGAACCAGGAGTGCATGCTTTTTTTTTTTTTTTTTTTTTGAGACAGAGTCTCACTTTATTGCCCAGGCTAGAGTGAGTGCCGTGGCGTCAAAGCTCACAGCAACCTCAATCTCCTGGGCTCAAGCGATCCTCCTGCTTCAGCCTCCCAAGTAGCTGGGACTACAGGCATGCGCCACCGTGCCTGGCTGATTTTTTCTATATATTAGTTGGCCAATTAATTTCTTTCTATTTATAGTAGAGAAGGGGTCTCACTCTTGCTCAGGCTGGTTTCAAACTCCTGACCTCGAGCAATCCGCCCACCTCGGCCTCCCAGAGTGCTAGGATTACAGGTGTGAGCCACCGCGCCCGGCCGTGCATGCTTTGAAAATATGTTTTTGAGAGGATTCATTTATTCACTCACCCAATATTTACTGAATGCCTGCTATATGACAGGCACTACTTTAGGCATTAGGGATATGACAGTGAACAAAACAGAAATTCTTATAATAATGGAACTTATCTTTGGGAAATAGTTGAGAAATAGCAAAAGAATAGTAAAATGAATAGTTAATGAGAAAATAAATCGAAGTGGAGGCAGGAGAGTGTCTGGGAAGGCTTTGCCATTTAAACGTGTGGTCCAGGAAGGCTCATTGTGAAGTTGATTCTTGGGTGTGTGCCACATGCATATATATCTATGCAAAGTGCATCCTAGGGAGAGGGAACAGCAACAGCAAAGGCACAGAAGCAGAAACGTGCTCGTATGTTAAGGAACAGCAAACGACCTGTAGAGCAGAAGAGGAGTGAGCAAAGTGGAGAGAGGGGCGAAGTCACAGTGGGGTGGGACAGTAGTGGGTACAGTTTAGGACCTTTGAGACCCTTGTAAGGACTTTGGCTTTTACTCTGAGATAGAAAGCCACTGGAATGTCTTGGATAGAGGGATAACTGACCCTACTCATAGTTTAATAGGAACCCTCTGGCTGTTGTATTAAACAATGAAGATAGAATGTGGCCTGACCAGTTAGGAAGCAGCTGTGGCATGATCCAAGTAAAAATGATGCTGGCGTGGACCAGGATGGAGGCAGTGGAGGTGGTGAGAAGTGGCTGGATTGGAGACATTTTGGGAAGGTAGAGTCAACAGGATATACTGAGAGAAAGAGAGGAGACAAGGCCATAGGGGTTTGGGCCTAGACAAATGGAATTGTTATTGACTGAGATGGGTAAGACTGAGTGGAGCAGGTTTTGGGGGTTTAGTTTGGGATATAAACTTAAGCTGCCTAAGTGGGGCTGTTACCTTGCTGGTGTTAGTTCATTATATCTCTCTGGAGCTAAGGGGAGAGGTATGGGCAGAGAAACACTTGAGAACCATCAAATTCCTGTAAATTGCTATAATTGTAAATTGCATGAATTTGGATGAGATCATCAAGGAAGTGAGGGTAAAAGAGAGACCCGGGGTCAGTGTCTGTGTATCTCAAGATTTCTCTGTTTTGTTTCTTGGGGAAATAGAAAGCAAGTCATCAGCTGAGAGTGAAGATTAGGGATGTGTGTTGGAGGTCGAGGAGAGGGAAGGTTTGAACCAGTCACCTAGGAGAGTGGGGAGGAAGGGGCTGGGGCCAGGGGATATGGTAGGATTGCCCAGCAGCAGGAGGGGCGAGGGGGCTCCCCTGAAGCTATGCTTTTATAGATAAGGAAGTATTAGACTTGGACTGTAGTTCCATGGGACAGAATGGAATCACTGGGTAGAAACTATTCATAGGGTGGCATCACCTCACCCTAACGAAGACCTTGCTAAAGATTGAGTCTACTAAAGTGGCTATTTTATTGATTTGATTTCCACCTAGATATTAGACATGCAAAACTAGAGTACTGTAGTTTCCTTTTGTTTGGTCTTCAAAGCATAAGTGCTCATTGAAATTGTTTTCTCAGATTTTCTAAGTATACCACTTTGTTCTGTCTCACCTGTATGTTCCATGTAAAGTTTTAAACCACATTCTAAATTACATATAATCTGCGTGTTTGCTTACATGCATGTATCTATCTAATAGCATGGACAAGTTCAACAGCCTCCTGGTGAGACCTCCTAATAATGCCTGTCTCCTCCCTTGCCACACTGTTTATGGAGCTGCTTATGGATCCATCCAAATTCCAAGATCAAGGGTGTCATCCCATTTATAAACGTGGCATTCCAGCCCCTCCGTGACTGAGGCCAGCTCGCCTTTCCAGCCTCACTTGCCACTGCTCTCTTGCATCTGCCAGCCACCATGGCCCGTCGCAGGCCCTGCTTTCCTGCCGTCTGCCTTTGCTCCGGCTCTTCCTTTCTCCTGGAGGGGTCGTTTCCTTGGCTCCTCATGTCCATATCTGACCTCACCTCCAAATCCTAACTCAGGTGCCATCTCACCCATGGAATCAGCATGCATACCTTTCAAGCCCCTATTTTCCCTTCTCGGGAAAAGCTTTAGCCCTTTGCTTCTATTTCTCATAAGCAAAGCGACAGTCTCCCTTCAGAATTATGTTTTGTGCTTCTCTTACTTCCCCTCCTAAGGTAAGAGCGCTTGGAGGGCACAGTTCAAGTTGTGTTCATCTGGGTAGACCCCAGCACGCAGCCCAGTGCCTGCAGTAGGCTGCCTGTGAAGGCATGGGTGTCTACATCCTGCAAATATACAATGGAAGGAAAAATGCTTGCTTGCTTTGTACTCTTTCCCTCTTCTGTGCTTTTTCTTTTCTGCTGGTTCTTAGATACAAATTATTTCTCCCAGAGCACTGAGCTTTGTTTTAAAAATCTTGATCGTGATTCCCCATTCATCAGAACTTACATAAAAGTTAGCTATCTTTGACAGCACGTATCAGAAGAATTATCTTTCCCCCAGTATCATATGAGCTATAATGACATCAGTTTTGTCTTCTCTTCCCATTAATATTTTCCTGTGCTGCTTGGTGAAGTTCTTTGCTCATCTCTTAGATCTCTGTTGGTCCTTCCTGTGAATGGTGTAGCACTACTGGGAAATCCTTTGAACGAGAGAATCCAACAGATTTTCTACATGGCTTCTGCGAGCAAAGATGGATGCTTCTTTGTAGTTTTGATTTGCATTTCCCTTATGATTAGTGATGTTGAGCATTTTTTCATATATTTTTTGGCCATTTGTGTGTCCTCTTTTGAGAACTGCCTGTTCAGATCATTTGCCTATTCTTTGTTTTTTCTGCTGAGATAAACATTTGGATTCCTTGTTTATTGTGGATATTAATCCTCTATCAAATGAGCAGTTTGCAAATATTTTCTCACATGCTATAGGTTGTCTCTTCACTCTGTTGATTGTTCGCTGTGCAGAAGCTTTTTAGTTTCTTATAATCTTATTTGTTTATTTTTGCTTTGGTTGCCTGTGCTTTTGAGGTCTTATTCATAAAATCTTTTCCCAGATCAGTGTCTTGAAGTGTTTTTCCTATGTTTTCTTCTAGTAGTTTTGGATCTTACATTTAGGTCTTTGAGCCATTTTGAGTTGTTTTTTTTTTGTATGGAGGGAGAGGTGGGAGTCTAGTTTAATTCTTTTGCATATGCATATCCTGTTTTCCCAGCACCACTTATTGAAGAGACTGTCATTTCCCCCAATGTATGTTCTTGGCACCTTTGTCAAGAATCAGTTGGCTGTAGATACATAAATTAATTTCTGGGTTCTCTATTCTGTTTCATTGGTCTATGTGTCTGTTTTTACTCTGGTAACATGCTATTTTGGTTACTACAGCTTTGTAGTATATTTTGAGGTTTGGTAGTATGATACCTCTAGCTTTTTTTTTTTTTTTTGCTTAGGATTGCTTTGGCAATTTTGGGTCTTTTGTGGTTCCATACAAATTTTAAGATTTGTTTTATATTTCTTGTGAAGAATGTCATTGATATTTTGATAGGGATTGCATTGAATCAGTAGATTGCTTTGGGTAGTCTTGCCATTTTAACAACATTAATTCTTCCAGTATATGAGCATGGGATGTCTTTCTATTATTTGTAGCCTCTTCAGTTTCTTTATCAGTGTATTGTAGTTCCCCTTATAGAAGTTTTTCACCTCTTGGTTAAATTTACTCCTAGGTATTTTATTTTATTTTTGTAGCTATTGTAAATAGCCATCTTGATTTATTTTTCAGCTAGATAGTTGTTTGTGTATAGAAACACTAGTGATTTTGTGTTAACACATTAATTTTGTATCCTGCAACTTTACTCATTTATTAGTTGTAAGAGTTTTTTGGTAGAATCTTCAGGTTTTTCTTGTATAAGATGATAATGTCCACAAACAGGGACAGTTTGACTTCCTCCACTCCAATTTAGGTACCCTTTCTTTCTCTTGCTAATTGCTCTGGCAAGGACTTTAAGACTATGTTGAATAAGAGTGGTGAGAGTGTAGGAAAGCTTTTCCTTATTCAGTAAGATGTTAGCTGTGAGTCTGTCATATATGGCCTTCATTATGTTGAGGTACTCTTACAGCTAATTTTCCTACATCTATTGAAATGATCATATGCTTTTTGTCCTTCATTCTATTGGTGAGATGTATGATATTTATTGATATGCATATGCTAAACCGTCCTTGCATTGCTGGGATAAATCCCACTTGATCATGGTGTGTTATCTTTTTAATGTGTTGTTGGATTCAGTGCTCTATTTTGTTGAGGGTGGTTATGTTTATCAGGGATATTGGCCTGTAGTTTTCTGTTTTTGTTGTGTCCTTATCTGGTTTTGGTATCAGGGTTATGCTGGCCTTCTAGAATAAGTTAGGAAGAATTCCTTCTGCTTCAACTTTTTGAAATGGTTTAATAATTGATATTAATTAAATCTTAATAAATAAGCAGTTTAATTAATAAATAAGCAGTTTAAATCAATGTTTCCTTTTTGATTTTCTGTCTAGATGCTCTGACCAATGCTGAAAGTGGAGTGTTGAAATCTCCAACAGTTATTGTATTGGAGTCTATCTCTACCTTTAGGTCTAAAAATGTTTGCTTACTTTATCTGGGTGCTCTGGTGTTGGGTGCATATATATTTACAGTTGTCATATTCTCCTGCTGAATTCATCTTTTTATTATTATATAATGTTCTTCTTTGTCCCTTTTTACAGCTTTTAATTTGATGTTTGTTTTGTCTGATATAAATATAGCTACTCCTACTGACTTTTGCATGGAGTATCTTTGTCTATTCCTTCCTTTGTCTTTGTGCATCTTAACAGATGTCATGAGGTTCTTATACACAGCTTACAGTTGGGTCTTGTTTTTTTTGATCAATTCAGTCAGTCTGTATCTTAAATGGGAAATCTAATCCATTTATATTCACGGTTATTATTAATAGGTAAGGACATACTCCCATCATTTTATTGATTGTTTTCTGGTCATTTTGTTCCTTATTTCCTCTCTTATTGTTTATTTTTACACTTGGGTGGTTTTCTGTAGTGATAAATTTAACTGCTTTCTCTTTCTCCTTTGTCTACAGCTCTAGCAGTGAGTATTATAGTTTCACATATTTTTGTGATGGTAGTTCTTTACACTTTGACTCTTGAGTATTTCTTATAAGGCTGGCCCAGTGGTGATGAATTCCGTTAGCTTTTGCTTGTCTGTGAAAGATTTTATTTCTCTTTAATTTCTAAAGGACACATTTTCTGGGTGTAATATTCTTGGCTGACATTTTATTTTCTTTCAATACTCTGAATATGTCATCCCATTCTCTACTGACTTACAAGATTTTGCTGAGAAATCCACTCGACATCTAATGAGGACTCCCTTGTATGTGACTTGGTGCTTTTCTCTTGCTGCTTTTAAAATTCTTTGTCTTTCACTTTTTTTTTTTTTTTTTTTTAAGAAACTCCTGGAATTGATATTTGTCTTTCACTTTTAACAATTTTACTATAATGTGCCTTAGAGAGTACCTGTTTGGGTTGAATCTATTTGGGGTTCTTTGACCTCCCAGGACCTTGATGTCCATTTCCATCCCAAGACTTGGGAAGTTTTCTGCTATGATTTAATTAAATGTTTTCCTGACATTTTCCCTTTTCCTCTGGAATGTCTATAATATAAATACTTGTTTGCTTATTGGTGGCTCTCAATTGTATTTTTAATTTCATTCATTGAATGCTTCAGCTCTAGTACCGTGTTTCCTTGAAAATAAGAGAGGGTCTTATATTTATTTTTCCTCACTGAGACACCCTAGGGCTTATTTTCAGGTGATGTGTTATTTTCCCCTCACAGCCTCAGCTTATAGCACGCACAGGATGGTCGGGACCTGACAGGGGGTGCTGACCTTGGTGGGGCTTTCCAGGCACCTCAGGGATAGTAGCTGTCACGATGGGGCAGACGAGAAGGGCTGCTCGTCGTCTTTACCACCCCACAACAAAATTCATGGGTTGTGCAGATACGCTGTGTAGCCACACCCATCACTAGGTCTTATTTTTGAGGTTTATATTGAGCAAATGCTTAGAAATCCTGCTAGGGCTTATTTTATGGGTAGGTCTTATTTTCGGGGAAGCACGGTATTTGTTTGGTTCTTTTTTATGATATCCTCTTGTTTCTCATTTAAATCATGAATTGTTTTCCTCATTTTGTTGAATTGTTTATCTGTATGCTGTCATATTTCAGTTTCCTTATGATTATGGTCTGTTACTGGAGAATTAGTTTTCCTTTGAAGGGGACATGTTTCCTTGCTTTTTCATAGATGTGTACATTGATTTCTGTGCACCTGGTGGAAAAGTCTCCTATTACTCGTTTTATGGAATAGAGTAGGGAGACTTATTTGTATGAATGGGTCTTGGGTGTCAGTTTGGTGAGGTACATTGGCCTTGGTTCTAGTAGATGCAGTAGTGAGTCTCTGTGTAGTTTCTTGAGCTATAATCCACCTTCGTGGCATTTGCAAGTTTTTTAGTGGCCTAGGCTGAGAGTGTGGGGATGGTGGTGTGGCTTTGCCAGTCTGTTTGTCAGGTCAGGGATGTGTGGATGCACACAGTCGGTGCCAACTGAGGGTCTGGCTGTCTGGGGTTGGGGCCACAGAGAGCTGTTACTCTGTTTGGGAGCATGGGCACACAATTGCATGGCTGACCTGGGGGCATTGTCTGCTGGAGGGAAGGTTCTCAGGCCCAGGACATAGCTGCATGGCTGCTCAGTTGGCCTGAGGGCATGTTTGCTAGGGGTGGCCCAAAGGGCTGTTTCTTAAGCCCAGGATGTGGGCTCTTGGCTGGCCAGGGAGTGTGCTTACCTGGAGTGGCCTGCAAGACTTTGTCAGGACCTCAATGGAGGAGCAAGACCACTGGGCAGGCCAGGGGCATGTCTGCAGTGGATGAGGGCACCTGGGGCTATTTCTTAGGTCCTGAGCATGGACACATAGCCAGTCTGCAGGGGGTGGGAGGGGGAATGGGGAAGTGCATATCCATTGTTTTGAGGCTCAGGGGCCTCTGCGACTTGGGGGAAGGTGCGCAGCAGTTTGACAAACCCTCAAAGGCAGATTCGCCCTGGATGGGACTGGTAGACTGTTCCTCTGGCTGGAAGCGTAGCAGCGGGGGTTGGTTTTCCTGCTGTGCAGGCTCAAGGCACAGCTGATCCAAGCTCCACACAATAGAGTTGTGGCATTCGGCCACCTGTGTGGGCCTGGTGTGACAAAGATGGAGCTCCAGTGTTGGAAAGGTGCAATGTCTACTGGCTCTCAGAGAAGGGTGTTCTCCAGAGGTGGCTCTGGTCTCACAATGGCATAGTGCTGCAGCAGCTCAGCTCACTGAGGGTGGGTGGGGGTAAGGCGTGCATACCTTGTGCTCCTAATCAGGGCAGTGCAGCTGCATGAATTCCTGGCAGCTGTCCAAGCTGGGCTCAGGGCTTGTGAAGACTGTGGGACCCTCCTGCAGGAAGGACGGCAGGTGTTTATGGTGGCACTGGGCTGGTAGGGATCGTATGCTCACCTTCCCAGAATAAACCGAGTTTAATTTAGCTTTTAACATCAGTTGCGATTTTATTTTCTCATAGGTGTCATCTTTAAGAAATGAAAAACGAGGCTCATCATATCTCATCTCTGCCCCAGAGGGTGGTTCAGTGGAATTTGTGGACCAGCATTCTCAGGGCACAGGAGCATATTACATGGAAACCTACTTAAAAAAGAAGCGAGTGTACTAAGTTGAGCTCTCTCCTTATCACCTCCTAAGGTTCTCTGCAGTATCTCTGCTGTTCATCGCTGCCTTAACTATATTCAAACTAGCCATATATCCTTTAAATACGGGTTTATAATTTCCCAGAAGGAACTGTGTTGTGCAGCAGGCAGAATTGCCAAATGAAAAATAGCAATAAGAGACATCAATTGAAGACATTTTCCACTAGAATTAGATGCATCTTATTAGCGTTAACTTACAATCCATTGGAGAAACTAACAATGTTCCAATATTTCTTGTTTTAGGACCAGGAATAATTTTGACACCACCGTGTATAAAAGTTTGAAGCAATAAATGGGAAACAGTCTTGTTTCCTGAGCCTTAGAAGAATGCGTTTCTTGTAAGCCAATGTGCATTTCCATTTACTTTCCTTATAGATTTTTAGGACTTTTCCTAGAACTACAAGGGTGCAAAGTACCAAACGTGGTGATAGTAATGTTAAAAAGATGCTCTACCTGCAAATTCAGTTATTACTCCCACGCCAGCCATGAAATATTAAGTGCAACAACAGAGTGATAGTGATGTCCAAAGTATACGTTACTACACATGCTTTACTTTTAAGATGTTGTATACCATTTATACCTTTTGTGAAAAACACAAGGTATTTTAAGAAAAATACCTTTGGTGATAATACAGGGGTTGGCAAACTACACTCTGGGGCCAAATTTGGTCCCCCACCCATTTTTGTGCTGCCTGCAAGCTAAAAACAGTATTTACATTTTTAAATGGTTGGAGGAAAAAGGAAACGTTATGACATGAAATTTATACAAAATTCAGCTTTCAGTGTCCATAAACAAAATTGTATTGGAACACAGCCAGGCTCATCCATGTGGGTCTTGTCTATGGATGGCACTCTTATGCTACAATAGCAGAAAAGAGTGGCTTTGACAGAGACCCCAAGGGCCTGCAAAGCCTAAAATATTAATATTTACTGTCTGGTCCTTCGTAGAGAAAGTTTGCTGACCCCTGATATAATAGCACTAATTCCCTATTCCTTTTATTTCACCTACAGAAAGACTTAATCTTTGAGACAGACTTGTAATGGCAAGGAACATCGGTTTCTGTGCCTCTTTTCATAGCAGCCTAGTGATACTCTAATGACTAGAATGGGGCCTATTTTGATGACCACATGTCCCAGTTCCACAATATAGTAAAGCAGTCAATGCTGCCCTTTCTGAAGGAGTCTCATGAAATAACACAGTATTTACAACCATTTTGAGCTACTAAGCTATACCTCACTCTCTGCTTTGTCTCACATTCTTTGGTAGTGTGTTAGGCTGAAAAATATCAGCTATTTAAACCCAATTTACTTCTGAAAGAATTTTTGTCTGTATTGCATATGACTTTTGACATCACCATTTCTTGAAGACCTAGGGATTAGATGCATGAGAAACCTTTTGCCATCTAGAAATTTGTAAGTTAGTTTGTTATAAGCCTGTGACTGATGATAAGGAATGTGGGGTCTTAATGACCCTGGTCTTTTCAGAAATCAGATCATTATCTTGTCACTTGGACTTTCTTTGACTATGATATAGATACCCTGTTTTAAGTATGAAGTTTAGAATTGGTATATATGTTGTATGCTTTGTAAAGAATTTTGTCTAATTTATTGCATATACTCACATCTGTTGGAAAAGGACAGCTAGAGAGTTTAATTTCTAAGAAGTATACTACCTACAAATGGCTGATCAAAATTAGGCATCAGTTATACAGCAGATGACTAATGGCTTCCCCATGCCCTGCACTTCTCCTTTCCGTTTTCCTGTTGCACTCAGCCTCCCCCGTGTTTAGATGCACCTCCACTATAGTACAAACAGAAGAAAGGGAAGATGGGTGAATTTTACACCAGAGCTGCAAAGTGGAAGAGGTTCAAAGAACTAAAACAAAGGTGTTTGGATTCCAGCATGTGAGGATATGCTGTCCATGCTGGCCTGTGCCCCATGATCATTGGACAGGACAGAGAAGAGCACATCAAGTGGTGTTAGTAATAAGGGCCATTTCCAATCTCCTCCTCCCCAAAAAACCTATACTGTTATTTTTCTATGTAAGCAAATTGTTTGAAATGCTTTGAAAATGAAATCTTACTATTAAAAGGCATATGCATGTAAAGTCTTTAGTATATTTATTTGTATAAAGAGTAAACAAAGTGCATATAGAGTGGCCACAGGTTTGACACAGAGACCTTGGTGATATAGGGCTATTGTACAAATTCAAATGGCAAGTTTATTGTTGCCATTGACTCAATCCTGAACTCTTTTTTGGGCTCAACAAGTGAAAAGTAATATCGGACGTACTAGACAGCATTAACAAAAAGTTTTTCAGACTCTTGGTCAAAAAGATCTTTATGGTTCACATTGAATCAGAGGTTAAACATTTTTGATTACCCAGCTACCTCCAAGCAAACTGAAAACTGTCTAGCAGATCCTGAACTCCAAAGTACCTCCAGCTGGGTCTTTCCTTTCAAGTTTTGCACCATAGGGTGATGGTCAAAATAGTGATCAACCCTTGCAGATGGGCGGTAAGTACTGAAATACTCTAAGAACAGTGCGACATATGTGGTATATATTCTGACTGATTGCATACAGCATTCAAAACCACTGCTAGAATAGCTTGCCCCAAAGTGGTAGAGTTATAAAAGGATATACACTGACGTTTCTTAAAAGCATGTGTAATAGCATCGAGGTTCTGGGAATCAGTTCTGAAGGTACACTGCTTAGGAAAGCACTGGCACAGGCTTAGTTCTCGAGAATTAACATGCAGCAAAGATACTCCACAGATATTCCATAGCTGTCCCCTTGTGTGTAACCAGTTTTCTCAAAAATGGGTACCAGTGGTCACCCAAGGGAACAGAAGCTAAGCCACTCGAGAAAGAACTCAAACTTTAAGTCCTACTGGTGACAGAATACAATCATTTTTGTATAGAAACAACAGTTTACTAACTGGTATCTAATATTTTAAGAATGTATGGCCTATCACTTTATAGATAGGGAAATTTGAAGACAGGTTAGAGTATCAGTTAAGTCAATCCATCTTTATGATCAATGTACCAGGAAAACATTTCGGACCAACTGGCAACTGGGAAAAGCAATCATGTTGAGACATTACTTGGGTCAACTCTTCTTGTTTTCAAAAATCTCATCCTAGTAAGCAGTTGTGATGGTAAGCTAGCAGATGAAATGGTGGTATATTCTTTCCCAAAGGAGGAGTGCTTAAGTGCTTTCAAATATTTTGGTTGTCATTATTTGTCACTAAGTTACTGGTACCAAATTTAACGAGGAAGTCCTTACACATATTAAGCACCACAGTGTGCCGTATATGTGCATACATGCTCAAGTGTTTGATTTTTTTTTTTTTTTTTTAGATAGAATACCAACTTTTTCCATTAAAGTTTTTTTGAATGGCTTGGGTATTTGTTGGAGGAGGAGGACTTGATAAACTGTGGAATTTAAATGTTATTCATGCTACTTATTTTAAAAGTGCTTCAAATCCTTCAATAAGGTTCTGAAAGGTCGTCCGATTGGATGGTTGGAATTCCCAGCATTTTCTCATAAGTTGATAAACCTATAAAAAGAAAAACAAAAATAACAACAGTAAAAAATGTTAGATTTGGAAACTTTTTTAAAATATAGAAACATGAATAGCAAGAAAATAATTTTGGAAATGTAGATAAGTGTTCTTTAACAAGACTGGGAAACAAAAGTATCTGAATGATTTAAAACAGAAGATATGATACTATAGTTCCATAAATATTTTAGCATTTGAGAAGCTCATGGGTTCAATGACCTTCAAGAAAATCCAGTTCACTACTGTAAACCAGCTACGGGGTGAAGCTGAGTCTCAGTTTAGACTTGAACTTTCCACTCTGGTTGCCTCATTCTTTCTCTCATACTATTTCAGTATGTGCTTGATAAACAGTTTAGTCTTAAAGGCCCAATTTACTTTAGAGCAGGGGTCCGCAAACATTTTAAACAGGGGGCCATTTCACTGTCCCTCAGAATGTTGGAGGGCCGGACTATAGTTTATGAACAAATTCCTATGCACACTACACATATCTTATTTTGAAGTAAAAAAAAAAAAAAACAAAAAAACAGGCAAAAACACCTGCATGTGGCCTGTGGGCCATAGTTTGAGGACACCTGCTTTGGAGTATAGAAAACTGAATATTATAAATGCCATTAATGAGTGGGATAAACTTATATACAAAAATACAGTTATATGTATTTGTCACAATAAGGCTATACCTAAACAAGCTCCTTTGGGGCAAGCAAGTGGATAAACACTGAGGTGCCTACACTGGGAGGAAACCCTTGCTTTGAATATAACTCGCGGCTGACATCTACCCCAGCATCTGATGATTTCTCAGATATATGAAATGTAGCTTCAGGAAACTGTTACAAAGGAGTTTCCTACTTCATTTTGCTGGTCTCCCCCCACCCCTCCCGCTTCTTCCCCATTGCTGGATAACTCAAGCTGTGAAAACATTATAAAAGTGAGTTTTATTACTGTGAAGTGGCCCATAAATACCTCGTCTGGACAGTTGGGTGGACATGGCAAACGTTTTCCCTCTTTTAACGTATTCACAAGCCTTGTGACTGTCATCTGGCCATGAGTCGGGCCTATCATTTTCAGAAACAACTATGTAAAATAAAACCAAACAAAATGTTTTTACTTTGCATACATTTATATAAAAACCAAATAAAGTAGAATAGACTGGAAATTAAAGTAACAATAAAAAGGCTTTTCTCCTTAGTAAATTTCAATGAAAATCCAAATCCTTATTAGCTCTCAACAATCTGTCTGTAATCAGTGTTTCAGACTCTACCAACCAGTCCCTCTGCTGACCAAGGAGTCTGGTCCAGAGAAGACGATCTCATTTACGGGTAAATGAGGCACAGAGAAGGCCCAACCCAGTGCTGCCCCACTCAACTCATTCATTCTCCCAGGACACTGTCCCTCATCTCCACACACACATGATCTGTGAGGTCAGGCTGTCCACAGAACTCTGGGCTCCTTGTGAAAACAGGACTTGAGAGACCCACCGGTCATTATCCAGTAACAAGCCAAGTTAAATGGAGAAGTGACACTCTGCCTTATAACACACACATCAACTGGACCCCATTTAAAAACCAAACTAACAAAGCAGAGGGGTGGACACATTTTAGCACATTAATTGGGTGTTAGATTCAAATGGAGAGACTTACAGCCATGGGACTAGAATCTGAGTCACAGTAAGTGAGCAGTTCATGCAGAGTCACTCCGAAAGACCAGACGTCAGAGGCAATGTAGAATTTACACTGAATTAGACATTCTGGAGCATACCTGAAAGAAAGCAGAACATGAAACCTTCACTTCCTGGGAAGCATATTCCAACAAACCAGCATAACTCCGAAAAGTCACCTCTTTGGTTTTTCTTAGAATTTAATATTTAAAGTATCTTTTTTTTTTTTTTTTTTTTTTGACAGAGTCTCTCACTCTGTTGCCCAGGCTAGAGTGAGTGCCATGGCATCAGCCTAGCTCACAGCAACCTCAAACTCCTGGGCTAAAAGCGATCCTACTGCCTCAGCCTCCGGAGTAGCTGGGACTACAGGCATGCGCCACTATGCCTGGCTAATTTTTTCTATTTATATTAGTTGGCCAATTAATTTCTTTCTATTTATAGTAGAGACAAGGTCTCGCTCTTGCTCAGGCTGGTTTTGAACTCCTGACCTTGAGCAATCTGCCCACCTTGGCCTCCCAGAGTGCTAGGATTACAGGCGTGAGCCACCGCGCCCGGCCAATATTTAAAGTATCTAAAGTGTGTATGTATTATGTTAGTCACATATATGCTGCTTATGGTGCACATCTGACATATAAGAGGATCTGCTTTACAGGCTCTCAGTAGCACATATTTGCTCCAAAATAATCAGACTAGTTTGTGCTCTTCATTTTCCTGAGCACATGCTCTCCACGTGGAGGAGGAGGGGCCCCATAAAGACAAGCCCCAGGTCTGATCTTCCTGCTCACCCTCTTCCAGCATTACCTATTTTGGTGTGAATGATACCCAATTGCCCAAGCCAAAAATCAAGGCATTCAAAACCCAATTTCCTAAATACTCCCGAACCTCATGCCTTCTACCAATGACCTCTACAAGCCTCCATGAATCTTTCAGGTTTTATCTGAACACTCAGGACTTCCAGAAAACCAAGCCCGAACCCTTCTATGTTGCTTGTTCCACAAAACTGGCTGTCTCACCCACGAGACTGTCAACTCAGTCTGCCTGTTCACCACCTCTCTACTAGCTGGCACCAAGCAGGGCTCTGATACATATTTTCTGAATGAATGAATGAGGCTTTGGGCTCCACAGGTGGGAGAGGTCTATGTTTGTGTCCACGCCGGGTGCACCTAGGGGGTGCTGATTAATTCTGCAGGGGGTGGAAGGCTCAAACAGCTTCCCCCTAGAGAGTGTTCTAGGCTGAGAAGTGGCTACAGTCAGTGTGTGGCCTTCCAGCCAGATGACTCTGGTGATTCAGGAGAGGGGGCCGGGTGTGCCACAGATTCTGCTCTGCTCTGTCCGCTGAATCTATTCAAGGCCCACTGTCACCCCTGCCGCTGCCTCCTGCCTGCCCTCCAGCCTCCCTCTGCATGGATATGTTCAAGAAAGGGACCTGGCTTACTCCACCTGCCCACAGTTTAAGGACCGTGTCAGATGAAGGCCCCATCTGGGAAGCTGGGGATGCTGAGCTGGTGCCAAGATTTCTCCCATTCCTTTGAAGATGGTGTCCCATAAAGCACAGGCATTTGTGTAGGCAGCTTTCAGCGAAACAGCCTAACAGGTGTTTCTTGAAGGGAAATATCAATCAACTGCAAATGTTCTAAATCCTCTCTAACTTTGACTCAGGCCAGAGGAATGAGAGACATTAACAAAGCCAGAAAGAGCCTATCCAAACTGTATCTGCAGCAAACCTTGATTGTATTAAAAAAAAACAAACTGTAAACCCTAGGAAGCATTGATGAAATCTAGCTGTTTGATTTCAGTTACCAAAACACAGGGCTGTCCCGGTCGTCCTTAACTGTGTAATACTCCTTATCAGTTTCAATTGCTTTAGTCAAACCGAAGTCTCCAATTTTCA